GTTTGGTAGAAGTAATTACTACTGAGTTAAGAGTAGTAAATTAGTATTTTTCTTTAATAAACACACATATTTTATCTCATATCTTATCTTATTTTCTTCTTGCTCTATTGAGAGAGCATTTTGTTAAAAAGTAAAATTGCATATATTATCTTATTGAGAAGATAATCATATTTTTGTTATAAGTAAAACACGTATAAATTATCTTATTGAGAAGATAATCATAATTTGTCAGTTATAAATCCTACACATATTACCTTTTTGAAAGAATAAAATAGTCAAATAGCCTCTACAGATATAAAAGTAAATAATTGCCGTGAACACAGTCACTATTACCATTTTAAAATAATTACATACGTATAATCTTAAAACGGTAACAATACAAATAACAATAATAATAATAGCATCTTAAATATTAAGTATTTTAAATATAATAAAATAGGATACTATACCAATAGCTGCACAGAAAGAAATGTAAATACTAAATAACCAGCCAATTTTGAAATCAATATTATCACAATTTCAGATAATAATCTTCTATTATAATAATTATAATAACTTCTTGATGAATAATCTACTATATCTTCATCTACTAATATTACTATCACTAATAATAGTAATACTTCATATTTAAACTAGAATTTATATCTGAAGAAGGTCAGAATATGAGTCAATCTCAAAAATCTTCAATAATATTCTTATAACAATTGCTAACTGAAACTATAGAGAAAAATAAAAATCTAAAAAAAAAGAATGGAAAAGTGATAGATACAGTTTATTGGATATTAATAAGATAAATATTAAAATAATAGGTATATTTTGAATAGTTAACTGTATTTCTAAGTATTTATTGAGTAATGACTATATCAATATTTGTTTAAGAATATCTAGATTATATTTTTCAAACTATTATAAAGTATCTAGTAGTTCTTTATTTAATTTTAACTAGCTTGAATTAAATACTTCTACAAGTAAGTTTTATTACTTTTTTTATTTTTATTCTTTTTTTATTTTTAAACTCAAGTATCTCTTATTATAATTGATAGAGATATATTTGTATTTGTTCTGTTGATAAATTAGTTTCATTTTTTAATTAGAATTGCAAAATTTTTTCTTGTCTTGATTTGAGTTTCACTATATATTATTTTTTAATAAAAATAGAAGAATTTTTTTTAGATGACTTATCAGAATCAATATAATCTTCAAGATATAATTTAGTAAATAGTTGAGCAAAGAATCTTTCTCTTTTTACTTTGATTTCTCTAGTTAAATCCACTTTGATATGTTGTAAAATTGTTTTTTCAATTATTTTTGATTCTTTACTAATCTCAATTTAATTTACAAAGAATTCTTTATCTAGATCTGAGTTGAATTAATAATCTTTTAGAATTATTTTTTTATAAAGAGAATATCAAAAAGTTGTTATCTTTTTGATACAGATTTGATATAAGGATGAGTATTAATTCTAATATTATAAAAGCATGTGATAAAAGTGATCACATGCTTATAATAATATTAGAAGAGTCTTTAAAAGATTTATTAATAAGAATATGATTATTTTTATATTAAGATTTATTTAAAGGTAGATAATAATAGTATTCTTATTATGATTAGCTTGAATATAGTTTAATTTTAAAATATAATTTCAAGATAAGTATAATAATCAGTTTATTAATAAAATAGAATAATAAATCTTAAGCAAAATCTATTTTATAAGAAAGATTTCTTAGAATTCTTTTAAAACTAAAATCTATTTTAAATATGAATTGAGAATTAAACTCATAGAACTCAAACTAAACTAAATAATTAATTAATAAACTTCTTATTAATTATTAACTAACTAATTAACTATTCTAATTTTACTAGCTAAGATATATTATTTTTATATATTTTAGAGATTATATGAATAATACTTTTATTATAATACTTATACTAGTTTTACTATGATCTAAATATTACTTTAGCTAGTATTATAATATTGATTTTGTTATGATAATATTATTAGTTTTGTTATAATAATTTTGTCATGATCATTGTATTTGTGAAATCTTTTAAAAATATTTACAAATAATATTCTCTAAAGCTAATATCTAATAAGATATAAATAATTATTCATCCAATCATATTGTGATATGAAACAATCAATAATATATAATTAACTAATATTCTACTAAAAGTTTATATTATAATAATACTTATAATCTTGAAGTGTTACTAAAATGTTACAGAAATGTTGCTGAATTATGACTGAATTCATAATTGATACACCAATTAAATTATTCAAAATCACATGTTCTCTAAAGATTAACTGATTGGTCAAAGATCTCAAGTTCAAAAAATTATGAAATTAAAGAAATTTATATTACTATGGTAACAATATGCTTTTCAAGAGAGTCTTTTAATTTCCAATAGTATTGATATGGTTAAACTGAAAGTATATATCATCATCATCATCATCATCATCATCAATAATATATCAGATGATAAGACGATTTAATTAAAGATTGAGAATTCAGATATTATTAATATATTCAACTATGAGAATTTTCATCTTTGGTAATGAATTACCAGCACTAACCTACAGTGGCTCACAGAAGAAATGCACGAAAAAGTTTTACGAAAAAAAATTCTAGTGACTCTAACATCGACTGGTTCCTATACTCATTTTAAAGCTAATAACCTAGAGAATAACCTAAAAATTATGCCATTCGAAAGAAATTGAGTGATCTACATGAAGATTTTTAATTAATGAAATTTTAATTCTAAATAGTTTTGTTATCAGGGAGGATTGATGCGGATTGATCTAATAAAAAATGTGCTTCTTAGGGAGAACTATCTACGTACTAATTTTCAGCTAAATTGGTATCAAATTCGTTGAGCTATTAGATGAATGCTAGTAAAATAATCCAACGATTTTTTCTGCTAGCATTCATCTGGTACTTCGGGGTCAAATAACTTAACGAATTTGATACCAATTTAGCTGAAAATTGGTACGTAGATAGTACTTCCTAAGAAGCACATTTTTTATTAGGTCAATCCGCATCTGATAACAAAACTATTTAGAATTAAAATTTCATTAATTAAAAATATTCATGTAGATTCTTTTGCATGGCAGCATTAATATAGTTTTTAGGATTTTTAAAAATATTCTCTAGGTTATTAGTATAGGAACCAGGTATTCCGAATCTATGTTAGAGTCACTAGAATTTTTTTTTCGTAAAACTTTTCGTGTTACATTCTTTTGTATACTTTATCATCCTGATCCACTTACGCAAATTACGCGAAATTTTTTACACTTATCTAACTGAATTTAATTAATCCTGATTTATTGATTTGTCATTTGACTTATAATGGAAATTTAGACTTGACCCAATTTTGGCTGGAGTTAAAACTCGCATCAAATAAATTTGTCCAATTGTATTAAACGTTAACCAGAATATATTTTGTAATACTATGCGCAGATAATCAAGTTTAGTTTTCCAAGAAAACGATCGACAAAAAAAAAGATAACTTGATACATCAAGTAAGATTCGATATTTGAATTAGCCAAATTAATCTTCTGTCCAATAAAAAAATCACTATAAAAAATTTGCCGAATAGTATTTAAGTGGCGCAAATTTTTAAAAAAATCATCGATTACGTTACTCTTCCCACATTTTTTTTCATGGCATCATCATCTGCCTCAAGTTCCAAAGCTCCTATACCATTTGTTCCTAAAATCACCAACGGTATTAGTAACAACAGTAAAAAAGATAAGAATGCCATTAGTCCAAGTCTTATTTTTGGCAACAACCGCAAGATAAAGCTGGATGGCGCAGACATTCGCTGTCGTAATTGCAAAGTGATCAAAGCGCAATTCGAAGAAATTATACGCGCGGACGAAGACGAAATGTTCAAACTCCAGGATATTATCGGGGCAAAATTAACTCGCATTTCTGAACTCGAGCGTAGTTTGCGAGAAGCAAACGACGTTAGCGTAAAAAAGGATCACCGCATTCGTGAGCTCGAGAACTCCGTACGTGATCTAGAGTATAAAATTATCGTGCTAGAAGATTATACGCAAAAAGTTCAAAAAGGAAAAAACAAACAAACTGAAGAAAGAGAAAGAGGTGGTGTTAGTAATGATAGCGAATTTTCATCCGATACGGCTAATTCGGTCGCTAATGCTATTCGACCGGCCTTCGCGGATGCATTTTCTTCAACAAAAGAAAACAACAGTGATGAGGAGGAGGAGGAGGAGGAGATAGAATGGGTATATTCACAGCAGCAACAGCAACAACGGCAACAACATCATCAAAACAATTATAATTCGCAAGCTAACCAACACAATAAATTTCGTACGTTTTATTGTTCTGTTGTTTTCCTAGGGATGAAATTGATAATTGAATTGGTGATACTAATTGTTCTCTTTGATTGGTATGGAAAAAGGACGTGGGACAGATTTTCGAAATACCAGTCAAGGTAATCGCGTGTACATCGGTGGTGTTTCCCCCGACGTGAAGAAACCCCGATTGAAAAAATGCTTGGAAGCGACCTTTAAAGGACGAGTCGTTGAGATCGACATTGTACCTTTTAAAGTGATTGTCATTTGATTATTTATTACAATTAATTTTATTCATGTCTGCTAATGATAATAATGATTAACTAACATCTATGTTATGATACTAAAAATAATTATCATAATGAATGGTATTATGATAATAGAAATGCGCGTTTGTTGAGTTTGCTGATCGTAAAACATATGAAACGGCTCTGCACTACGGATATGTAACATTGGATGATGATACGCTCCACATTAACACTCTCAAAAAAAATACTCTTGAAACTTTAGGTTTGAAAATTTGAATCGAATTTTTGTTGCTGCTGCTGCTTTATGGCCTCCCTCACTTTTTTAGTATAAAATCCCCCAACACCCCTCCCCCCTTTTTTCTTTTAACGCACATATATATATCAATATATTAACCAATATGTTTATATATGTATCTTATTTTTTCTTTTTTTTTCTTTTTTTTCTTTTTTTCTTTTTTTTTCTCGGGTTGAGGGTGGCAACAATTGTTTAATAATATAATAATAATAAAAAATTGTCATTGTTTGGGAAATTATGTTTGTGGGGGGCACGTGTAGTGTGTGCATGCATGCATGAATTTATTTTTTTGTAGTGATGTAATAAATGAGCTTTTCTAATTATGCGTTGTGTAAATTTAGCAATTGTAATATGGTTCTCCATTAATAATTGTATTCTTGTATTGACACTAAGTTCGATGCTTTACAATACATTATGTTTATAGGGATAAAAATCTAAAGCACAAGTTTGATCAGCTTTAGATATTAATAATTCATTTTCGTCCTTTACTCTTGCTTCCTTTTACTGATTTGCCGCGGCCTCCACCGCCGACTGCAGCAGAAGCCAACGAATGTCCCGTTTTGTTTATATGCGCGAAAAGTTGGTTTCTGGATGGAAATGATGCATCGCACACATTACATTTATTCTAGAGGATTAAGTATTTAATGTAATATTAAAATATTAATATCTGAATATATAATACGGTGTACAGTAATATATCAAAAAAAAAAAAATTAGTTCTCTTGTCATTAGATACCTGAATCATCTCGGCTTTCTTTTTCTCTTTTTTCTCCTTACGTTTTTCTTTTTTGATATTTGGTGATATCGGTTGTGGCGGTGGTTGTTTTTTCAGATTTATTTCATCACTATGATCAAGACTATTATTATCTATTACCGAATGTGGTTCTTGTTCCTCAGATTTGTCTATCACCACCACCTCAGAATCTTGTAATTTATCGGACTTTATAGAAATTTTAGCCTGTTTACTTATTAAATCTGATAATTTTGCGTCATCATCCTCTTCTTCTGCTTTATTGTGAGAGAATTTCGAATTTGATATTGATATGCCATCTTTATGGTTATTTATCTTTTTATTACTTTTTAGTGCGTCATCATCGTCTTCTGTGACATCGTGTCCCCAATTCGGTTTTTTTAATTTCTTTTTCAGCTTTTTATTCTTCTTGTTAGATTGCAGTGATGATGGTAATATATATTCATCTATTGTTTGTTCTCCACTGACATCGTCTTCTTCAATTATAGAACTGTTGAGATGTTTTAGGTTTTGATCAGCTTTCGGTTTCGACGATGGTGTTGCTGATGATGATGAATCTTCATGTTTCAGATTAACATTCTCATCATCCTCATCATTTTCGTTTTCATCCTCGTTATCATTAACATTATTTACAACATTACCATCATTTTCTTGATCAGAATTTTCCGCTGTCACAGCAGCAGACGACCCATCCTCCTCCTCTTCTCCTCCTTCTTCAAATAATAGCTGCTTCTTCAACAAATAAACATTTCGTAAATGTTTCTTGCTCTGTTCATGATTCACCCACTGTTTATCGTGCTTAAAACTCTTATTACATGCTGGACAATAAAATTCTTCGAGTTCCTCTTCGTCCTCGTCCTGCTGATCGGAATCTTCATCGAGTTCCTCCTCGACTCTTGCCCATTCTTGTTCCGTGTAATTTTGCAGTTCAGCTATATGTTGCGCGCGGTCACGAGCAGCGCGCGCTTTTGCTTGTACGATCCGTTCTTGGTTTCGTCGTTGAAGTTCTTCGAAGTAGGATTTCCAGCGAGGATCGCGTTTTTGTACGAAGCGAATGAGTTCCTATGGACGAGATTTCTTGTGTCATCATGTGAATGATTCAGATAGAGGCGTAAAAAAGCAGAAGCTTACTCGAACAGCCTCGTTATAATCCCTTCGTCCAGTCTCACGTTCTTTTTGATTCTCCTTCTCCATCAATTTCTTAATACGTCGATCAGGTGCCTAGCTTTTAAAATAATCCTTTACTACAAACTGTGTATAAAAATGACGCGTTTAAGCGTGTATTTACACACGTTCCCCGCGATTAAAATAACAAACAACCAAAAACTCACCTCTGACAATTTATACTTATCAAGCCACCTGAACGTTTTTCGTGTCGAGAAACCAAGCCACGCCGTGTAAAACATTTTTATCGGATTACTTGAAGTCTCTTCATCGAAATTCGAAGGCGTAGCGCTTGTGCCGAACGATGGCAAATCTATGAATTGGGCGCTGTCTTCCTCGTCGAATTCATTGGCGAATGCTTCTTCCTCTTCGCGTGCTAATTTCTCAAAAAGATTGCCATATACGGCGAAAAATCCCTAATGAAAAAAATATTAATTCATTATTGTTCTTTATCAATGATATATAAATTTCTTTGATTCATCTTCTCTGCTTACTTTTGGATTATCATCGAACCCTGAGAAACATCCTGCGTCAAAAAACTTCATCAGGTCATTGGTGGTAGTTCCCGCGACTGTAGGTCCACGATATTTTCTACGCCCGCTAACTTCCTCCTCAAAATCGTCGTAAATGTCATCATCATCTATGAAGAAAAGGGATGAAAGAAGAAGTCGACAATAAGTAAGCTGTATTAATAAAGCCAACTTAGAAAAATCTACCTCTCAATATCGCATCCCTATGATTATCATACCTAAAAATGAAATCACGGATCAGTTTCAACGATTTTTGAAAGTTAAAAAAAGTTGAGGGGTTAAAATTTTCATGGCAAAAAGTACCAAGCCCGTTCGTTCGAATCAGAAAGCACTTCATAAGCCTGCTGAATCGCCGAAAACTGTTTTGTCGCTTCCTCCACTCTTTCATGGTTTTTATCAGGATGCCATTCAAGCGCTTTTTTGTAGTATGCTTTCTTTATCTCTTCTGAAGTAGCATTGCGTGCTACACCCAATAAATCGTAATGACAGACTCGCATTTTATTAATTACTTTAAATAATCAAACACAAGAACGTAGACAGTCAAAATATCAGATGTTTTGTAAAAATGCACGTGAGTTATTTGGACCTTATAATAAATTCAAGCGATGATCATTTCCTTTTTTTTATTTTTCAATTTGATTGATTGATAAAAATATACATTGTGAGCTATCACTTATTCCACCTAAGAGTTGATTTTACCAGAAATTGGTAAAAACAAGTTAAATAATAATAGTTTTTTTTATTCTTGTGCCTACAGATTTTCACTCACATTCTCAACACCAAATCACTTTATACATTCATTAACGTAAATCTTCGCGAACAAAAACATCTTATCCACCCCGTGTAGACCCAGCATTCAACCGCCTCATCAAAATCTCATACGTCAAAATAGTCAAAGCACTCGCCGGCACAGTACGCAACAAATTCGTCATCATCCCTTTATAGAACGCGGTCCATCCTTCCTCATGCGCGATAACTCGTACCGCGTGTATTATCCCGTGATATTTGTGCGGTCGAACTGTTTGGTTTTGCAGTCGTGTTCGGACTACTTCGTGTGGGTAGGTGGCCATCGAGGCGATCATTTTTGAGGCAGACGATGCGTAGAGGATTGATAGGTTCGAGAGGTGCTCATGATCCGGGGATTCTTTGTGTTTAAAGAGAAGGAGAGTCAGTGAATTAAATGGATTAAAGTTATTAAAACAGCATAAAAGCAAGCAAGTGAATACTCACTTAACCACACTTTCATTTTTTCGTATAATGGAAATTGTACTGCCACATGACTAACACCCATCAATGATGGTCCAAGACCTTTGTAGAATCCCCGCATACCTTCTTGCCGATAAATGGTAGAAAACGCATCCAACGTGTTATGATATCGATAGGATGTGATCTCACTTTGGGTCTAATTTGCGTTTACCGAGATGGGAAGGGAAGGGAATAAAGAAAAGAGGAGAAAGTGAATCATTATCTACTCACGAAAAGCATTAGTAACATTGAATAAAATCGATGATAATTAGGACGAGGCACATCACCCATACAAACATACACAGACATACACAGAGACAAACAAAATCATCCAACAAATACCATAAACCGCGTTTTTATCACCCAAAATGGGTTTGTGGCTATTGTACTTGTAGCTCCGGCGCCCATCGCCGCGAAAATATGCACTACCCACTGATAATTATCATTAACATAATTGTAATTATAGTGATGATGAGGATGATGATGATATTCGTTTGCTGTTGAGGTTGTGGGTGATGCTGATGATCTCACTCGTCCTATTAGTTCACCTATTCCTTCTCCTGAGAACCGCGCCAACCCCCGCAAATTTCACGAAAAATACGCACGCGTTATGTTATGTATGATAAGAAGTGTATACAGGCAGCAAGCACCACGATCGATATATGTGTTTGGTTGTATGCAGTGTATGTTTATGAGATTGGGTGAAGATGGTGTCAAGAACAGACGAGTAATTTCCGTCAGTCTTGTTGCTTTTGCTTTTTGGCGTGTTTTTTGAGATTTTTATAAAAATTACTAATTTATTCTCGCTTTGTTTTTTCTTCTTCACCCCCAAATGATTAACTTTTTAAAGATGATGATAATGATGAAGACGGATTTATTATATATAAAGACTTGTGAAAAAACTTGAGCGCCCAAAAATGCACGCGTAAAAAATTCTCGGTGTACTTGTAAAGATATCTTTTTCATAAAATCATTAAATAAATTATCATCATTATTATTATTATCATCATCATTATCATTGTTATGATCATCCTTGCTTCGCATTGATTTTTTCGTCAAACATTCTTGACACCATCCTTCGTTAGTAAATTCCATCAATAAAATTGGCCTTTGATATATATATTCTTGCGAAAAATCCAGTCCGTGATTACTTATTAAAAAAAAATGAATCGAAAATTACCTGCTAGCGTCGCTTTAAAATAATCATATGCGGTGAAATATATAGCCCATGTTGGTAGATATCCATATAATGTGGGTCCCAAGCCTCGATATAGTCCACGAATACCTTCCTCTCGCCAAATCCGCCTCAATGTTCCTTTTTTTTCGGGGGATACCATGCGAATTTATTGGTTAATTAATTAATTTTCTAGTAAATACCAAAACAAGGTAGAATAAAAATTTTTACCTCCAGTTCCTTTATAGATTGGCATAGCAGCGCCACGAATATGATTGCCGTTATACATTCCCTTGGCAATATTATCATTTTGATTTTGTAGTCGTGTTTTCACCACATCCAACGGACACGTCACGATAGAACTGACACATCCAGCAACAGCCCCCGCAAGCGAATGTTTTATCTTGTCAGACTCGACGGACAGTATTCCCATTAGACGTGGCTTTTTTGAGGTGTTGCTCGTCGTGGAGGAGGGGATTGTGGCACTAGTGGCTGCTGTTGTTGGAGGTGGGGGTGGTGCTGTGGTTGAGGAAGTAGTTGTAGTTGTTGACATTACGGGTGTTTGATTTTTTTTTAATATTTATATATTTATATATATATATATGTATATATATATATATATGCGTTCTTTTTAAACAACAAAAATAATAGTGTCCCTCTGAAATATTTAAAACATTCACCGAGTTTTTATGTTAGCTTTTGATTTTCGGAATTGGTCGAATATAATAATACAGTTATTAATATTAAATATTAATATTATTCTTAATATTACCAATATCTATAGTATAAATAATAAATATGTAAATATGACGTTTCTTAATATTTGAATTTGGGTGGTAAACAAGTAAGCAAGGTATATACAAAAGAGTTAGGGAAGAGAAAGAACGAGGAAATAATTAAACAAGCTAAATTTTGATGTGTGTTAGAGAACTATGGCTAACAGAATTCGAGAGAAAAAGGTTGAGCAATTCCAGTCTTCTCACGCTTCTGTTCTGGTTTCTTCCAACATTGGTCATTTATTATCTATCTATATCACACTAAAATTTTACCATCTATTTGTTGTTTCACTCACAAAAGTCACGTTTGAGGTCACATCTGCATTTTCGCTGTCCGAAATTTAGGGGGAAAGAAACTAGCGTAAAAGACGCATATCGATATTGATACAATATTAATCATTCTTGGGACATAATTTTTACATTCCGTGAAAGAATTAAAAATACATTGATTATATTTGTAGTAATTTTGTTTAAAAATAAATTACTTCTAACAATGATAGTAATACAAGATAATTACAGTTATGGAAACGCGCAGCGTTCGCCCGAGATATGTATTTGGGAGGGGGAGGTAGAAATAATAAATTAGAAAGGATCAACGAATGAATTCAGATGGATTAATTTTCGTCCGTAACTCGAATATTAATGTTGGAAAGAAAATATAGGACGTCATTCTATGTATGCATACAAGTCATTATAAAGTATCTGTGAATTATAGCAGGTTCAAAAGATTGCTAAAGAACAAACTCAATAGGGTCAAAGCCAAATTCTTCGGAGTCAAAGCGATGGTATTGATATCGGCAGAGCTGGCCTTCAAATCCTCAATATATTGCCCCGTAATGTTTGGCATATTATTCACATCATTTCCAGCATCTTGCGGTAACCCTAGACTTTGTGAAGTGGCCACCTTGATCACTGTATTCGCATTACTAACGCTTATATTACCATTATCGCCGTAAACATAACTTGTCAATTGCTGACTTGACGAATTACTAGCCTCTTGACCATAACATTTTATGTCGAGACTCCGGATCTGCGCGTAAAAATATCCGGGGCTTTTTATATCGGGTGAATTCCAATTTGTCTGGCCACCAGCCCATTCTTTTGTCCCGGCTGCACCTTCACCACCATTCCATATTGACAGTTGGATGCGCGATGGTGTTGACGGGTACATGTAGACGCCTGTTGTGGCGTTTAACGTGTCTTTTTTGTAGAGGGTTCGAACGAGTTGCCCGTCAATGAACCATTGTAACTGGGTTTCTTGCCAGTCAATTGTGTACTCGTGAAAATTGTCAAAAGTGCTAGCGTTGGTTGGATGTGTAGCGGCGTTCTGATCTTTTTTTTTAATTGATGCAAGTTTTTATGATTAAACGATGATGAAAATCTACCGTCTTCACTTGATATTTATAGAATTACTTACAATCGATAACACCACGATAGAAATAGTTGCTTTGCCCCATATTCAGATTATAACCGACCCACTCCCAATCTATTTCGTCTTTAACATTCGACATGGTACTTTTAGATAAATCAATAGGGTTAATATTTATTACTTAATGGTTAAATTTACACAAATATATATGTGAATTGAACTTACATGAACGCGGTTACAATACCCTGGGTACGGGATGTCTTTAGCACAGCGGTGATTCTACCATAATAAACATACCGAGTAGTTGATATACGAGTACCTTTAGAACCCTGAGCCATTGTCAGTATTACAACATTATTGGAAAATATCGGTTGTCCATCAGTTGTGAAATCATAGGTCAATTCTCCGTTGTAAGATGCACTATTGATAAATTTACTAGTGTCGTTGAGATTGTAGGTCATTGATTTACAGATGGGATTTGGTGCGCATGAAGTTGAATTGAAGCTTAGTAAAGGATTGCAGCCACCTAAAAAATCGAACTGATTAATATGCATTTCAATTACGTAGAGAAACGCGTGGATGTTGGATCTTTTTTGATTCGTAAAATTTACCTAGACAAAAACGCCCGGTGCCACAGTACCCGAATTCTAAAGTAAAAAAGAATTCGAGATAATAAATTGTTTAGTATATTTCACGTCATGCGAAAAATTCACAGTATATGCTGATAAAAATGAAAAATGAAATAACCTGAGCAACAAGGTGCAGATGCAGGACAAGGAGAACTAGCAGAGCATTGAACTTGTGCGTTGACTTGTAATATAACTGTTGTCAAACATAACAGACTAAAGCCTAACATTCTAAATATAAAAGAAGCCATCTTCTGTGCCTGCTTCGAAGATCTATCTATATATATAAGACTGTCTATCGAGTAGAAATACAAAGTATGAAAGCCCGTCTGTTTGACAACGTTCTTTTTCGGAAATGACGGTGTGAGATATAAGAAAACGCTAGGATTAAAATTTTGCGTTTTTGGGGGAGGGCGAAAGAGTGAGTTTATTAATTTGTTTGCGAAATTTAGCCAGAATGGCTATTTGTGGAAGAGGAAGAGAGGAATAATGTTGAAGATTAGGGGAGGACGAACGGACGGACGGGCGAGACGAGCGGTCAAAAGAATGAAAAGAGTGATGATAATCATCACCATTTTTTCTCGAATTGAGTTATGTTGCACGTGTCGAACAATCGCGTGTAAACACATGTTTAAATTGATTCTCGAATTAGAAATAATTAATTTCGCATTGTTACATGACAAAACTTTGTTATATGTTTCGATAACTGGCTATTGGAAAATATCATCATTTGATTCGCCATACCTAGACGAATCAAATGGTGATATTTTCCAATAGCGAGATATTTTCTTATCTGTATATCGATATGCATATTGATTTCAATTCTAACTCCAATCGATCCAGTTAGAATCTATAAAGAACGCGTCGATAGATAAATACGCGTCAATCAATATATGAATAAATATTTCAACGTTTATATTTCTTTCTTCCACAAATATATATATACATCTTTGAAATTCAATTATTCTTAACCGTTTGCTTTCTAACTATTTTGCAAATGTCCGACTTGCTTGAAGACGAATACTATGAAAGACACACTGATAACCATGATAATGATAACATAAAACGTGAAGAACATGAAGAAATGAAAAAAACTTACCTTCGCGAAGCGTGTCTTGCTCTTGGTTAGTATGTATATAGGTAACGTAAACCGCGTTTTTTTTTCATTATTTAGCTATATCTTTTTCAATTGCAGGAAGTCGAGAAAAGACTTTACTAGATGATGGACAAGTTGAAGATGTTTATGTGATTGGTGATTTATGTAAATGTATGTATCATTTATCGATAAGCGCGTTTGTTCCATTATTTTTATAATCAAAACATCTTTACAATGATAATTTTTATGCAGATGCCTTAAGGAACATTATAGAATTAATAAGAATGGATCGGCCACTTGTAATCACATATTTATCAAATTTAAATATTCTCGAGAAAGATCTTTTCCCGATAGTGACTTTGAATCGTAACTCTAGCAATAAAAATGAAAAGAATCTTACTTATGGTTGCGGTATAGTATTTTTTTTTATTTATTGTTAATAATGGATCTACAATATTTTGAAAAAGTTCAAATTATTTTGAATTAATGAAAAAATTATATATGATGGTTTAGTTGATCTTTTTATTCAAATGACCGAATCATTACAAGGAGATAGCAATCTTTTAGAAGAGGATGTGATAGATGAAGATTTGATTGTCGAACAAAAAACAAAGCAACTTGCGGCTCAGGAAGCGCAACAGCGATTCAAAGAATTGTTTATTCGAAATCCGATTGCTTTGGAAACTGTTCGTGATCTCCTCTGCGAGAATTTAGAGCAAGAGAAATGGTGATTATGGTTATATTCTCTCGCTGAAACACGTGAAATAGACGTCTTTTAAATGTTTAATTCTTCACGAACCTTTCAGGAAAAGAACTAAAGAAGAAAGAACTGAAGCACGTAATATAATTGGATGTTGTTTATTCTTCTTTCGTAATTTAGCTGGAATACAGGAATCATCCACATTACTTGATAATACACATAAGCTTCAGGTTTGTTTCTATTCCTTTTTATTATCTATCCAAAGTCAAGTTTAATAATCCTTTAAATAAAATACAATTTCCAGAGCCAATTAATCGTATTGTTTCACGAAAAAGAAATTCTTCGTCTCCTTGTGGACATTGCCTCAAATCACAAGAAAATGGAAGACTGGTATTATCTAGTGCAGGAAATATTCTATTTTATATTTTTTGGAGTTAGACCTAAAGACATGTTTGTTGATTTGTCGAAAAAGGTTTGTTGGTTTTGAGTTTAATCATATTTAGTTGTTAATAACGAGATTAACGAATATATTATATTTTGAAAGAAGGTTGTTTATAATTTTGTTATTAATATTGTTTATTATTTTAAGGACGAACAACCAGATTCTTTGAGACTTTTGTTAGAAAAAGAAGCGGCTGATGCTAAAAAATACAGTATGATGAGACATTCGAGATGGGGAGGGTCGCATACTATGAAGTTGGTTAGTAGGTGATAATATTTATTGTCATTTGCTAGTACTTGTTTCAGATGCTGATAATAATTAATATAAATTGATTTCGATTAGAGTGGTCTAACATTTACAGTACATGGACAAAAGCCGTCGCTGGATCCTGGCCCTCAGCTACCTGATCGCGGGAGAAAGAAATTTCGAAAAACAAAAAACTTGGTAAGTCTATTAACAAGCGAACATTATGTATATATTAGAATTTTGTTGACATATTAAAGATACTATTACTATTATTATTTAGGATGAATTTGATAAAACCAAAAGCTTGACACCAATTGCACTTAACTTGCTCAAAGAAACAGCGACCGAATTAATAGATTATGGCGGACTTAATGGTGAAAAATCCCTTTCTGTATACAATAAAATAACTATCACGAAATGTGCTTTATTTACCATATCTTATAATCAATCTATCCGGCTTATCCACAGAAATGATATTTTATGTAAAGAAAGGCATCGAACATCAAAAGGCAGAAATACATCCCGATGATCATGTCAAATTGTTATACATGATTCGATTCTTTATCGAAATGGAATTACTGCTGATTAACGAATCGCAAAAACCTCTACCACTCCGAGACAATTATAACGGAAAAAAGAATCATCCGCTGTCACCTTTAACATCTCCTCTTCCATTACGAGAGATTAATTTTAATTTGGTGCAAAGTATCATGAATATAAATGGATTTTCATTTATTTTAAAGAAATTGGACGAATTTCGGGAAAAAAAGGTTTAATTGCTATTTTTTCGTGGATTGTATTAGTATTCTCGGTTTTCACGAACCACTTTCTTTTTAATCAAGTCGTGGGGTGATTTGCATTATGCTATTGAATGTTTTCTTCACATGGTATGTGTATAACTTCTAACAATTATAATAAAACAAGCAATAGATTTAGATTGTTTCTGATTTATAAAAAGAACTACTAAACTTTTAATTAATTATAATAATAGCTTAATTATATACAAGAGATGAACAAATCATCGTATTCTGAAGATAAAAAGGACGCTAGCGCGTTACTCTCTGATATATTTTCGGAAGCGGCTACCTTCGACATGATTCTCGGAATTGTGAAAGATTACAAGACTCAGTCTCTTGGGTATTTATTGTTGTGTTTAACTATATAAAAGTTTTAAATTTTTTGTTTATTTGTGTTTTTAATATTTATTTTTTTAATCTAAATTTTATTTCATGTTTTTGTAACCATCGACTGTCATCAGATATTTACAAAGCGTGATCGAAATGATTGATGTGTTCTTTCGGTTGTTAGAACAATATTTGGCCACAAGCCATTTGTATACACGAAAGAAACGAGTGGCTAGAAAGAAGAAAAGTTTGTGTTTATGGTGGCTTGTTATTAATCTGATTGCGATTTTTTGTGATTGATTATTATTAATTATTTCGGGTTATGAAACTTTTGAATCTCGATAAGAAACGAAAGCTAAGAAAGCAAAAGAAACAGCAGAACAAGAAGCAGTCTCCATTAATGATAAAACCGAAGACGTTCAGAAAAATGAAGAACAAGAAGCAGTCACCAATAGCGAGAACGATGCTGTTGACGATGATGATGATGACGATGACGATGACGATGATGAAACCATTGAAACGGAGAAGAAGTATGAGTATGAAGATGTCGAATTTAAATTCGAGTCTTTTCAGAGTGTAATTATTTCTTCTCGTCCTACTAGTTGTCAATATGTTTATCCTATAAAAAATTTAATTTGAAAAATTTCTATGATTCTAGCGTTTCGCAAATGAATCTATGGTCAAGATATACAGCACTCTCCTAGACGTATACGACTGGCCAAACACTCGTACTATCCAACATATAACTAATATGTTTAATCGAATAGCAGTGAAGTGTCGCGGAATAGGGTTGTTCTTTAAGGTGATTTTTTAATTTCTCATTTTCAATAATAAAATTTTTTGACATTTATGCTTATTATATCAATTAATACTTTCCGTTAGCTTTCGACTTTGGAGATATTTAATCGTACCTTGATCAGACTTCAGAAATTACCGAAATCTCCAGTGCATTTAGATCTCGAAGATTTTATAAAGTTTTGTGTGAGACAGTTTGTCAAAGCAGCGAAATCTGATCCTAGTCTTTTTGCAAGTGTAAGTACTATTGATGCGATGTAAACGATGCTATATATTTTTATTTAATAATGCCGGTTGTCACCAGGTTCTATTGCCAAAAAGACGAGGTGATTACATTTTATCGAGCGAGGAGGATAATTTACCAAATTCCAGTAGAAAGGATAGTATAGAAACTAGTGTGCTAAATACAGAATGTTTTAATGAACAAGAGCAAACCATACAATCTAACGTTGAGGCTTCTGGTGAACAAGAGCATAGCGTCGAACAATTTAATCTCGAATCTACGGGAGAGGAAGAGCAAAATGTACAGTCTAAAGAAGATTCTCTTGGAAGCCAAGAGCAAAATTATGAAGTTGACCCTGAACAAGAGAATGGATTGCAGAGTAATTCTAACAATATAAATAGTACTAAACCCGAGAGAGAAATCGAAATCAAAAGTCGTGAACCTTTTTGGAAACGATATTCCAAAAAGACCAAACATGCAACTGGTTCAAAACCAGCCAGTAACGATAAATATAATTCGGATTATTCGGATTCCAATTCTAATGTGATTGTTGGTGGATCTAGCAAAGGTTCCACTATTGAGAGTTCACCTCCGAACAATCTTGATTCGAATCTGTCACAAGGACAATCATCACGAATAATTGATGGAGATGATCATGACGAGGACGACAATTATGAATTCACCGTGAATCTCGCACCAATAGTCAAGGGTACGGATTATGAAGATGAAAACGCTACGCGCGTAGCTAATAATGGACTTTCTTCGTCCTTGACAGTTGTAACAGAATCAATCGATGATGCAGAACCTATTGATCTTTATTTTGAGAATTCTGACATAGGCACAGATGTTGATGCAGAGGAGGAATGGGAGGAGGATGATGATGATGACGATGATGATAAGGATAGTGACGAGAATGAAGATAATGATGAGAATGAGGATGTGAATGATGAGGAGCATGAAATTATCTCTGAAGATGAAGAGGGCATCGAAGACGGAAATAATAATGAATCCTCAAAAAGCAATAAAATAATGGATATTGATGAAGATAATGAATTCTCAATAAGTTCAAAATTAATAATAGAAAATTTCAAGGATCGCGAACAATTAAAATCAATATATATTGAAGATGAAGCCGAAGAGTCAGAAGACGAATATAAAGGAATGGGTGGTTCAGATAAGGAAGATGACGATGACGATGTTGCTGAATTGATGGAATTTATTAATAATGATATGAACAAAGAAAATACTGATTCATTGGATGTTCAAAATCTCTTCCAGTAAATTTTGCTTTATTTATTATATTCTTGATCTTGAATAATTTTTTGGTAAGGTTAATTGACAATTATAACGTTTGTGTTTAGACAACAAATATTGGAAGAAGATCAAGCTGAGGTGGCTCGAATACAGCGAGATCTCGAAAAAGGACGCATTGGAAAACGAAGGCGTAACAATATTGGGGGTTTATTTGACGATGATGATGATAGTGACGATGCGGAACAAAAAAAGCGGAGTAGAGCGAATTATTCAGATGATGACGATGACGGTAAGAATTCAACATTAGAGGGTCCAGTTTCTGCAAATTCTGCTGCAATTTGCAAATTTTGCAGAATTTGCAGAATCCGTATGGCTTATAACGTAATTTGTGATAATGCGAGCGATTTTACAGTTTACATTATAAAAATAATTTTTTACACGACTACAAAATATTTAATGATAAAAGGCATGCATAATCAAAACAATCTATTGAAAAATTAAATGTTAAAAAACCGGATGATCAAATTTAAAGGAATTCTCGGTAATTTTGGGACGAGATATCTCGTCCCAAAGTTACCGAGAATTCTTTTTAAATTTGATCATCATAATGCTCTAGACGTTTTTTGATTAATCTGGACACTCTTAAGTCACATCATTAAAATATTGCTAATTTTTTTGTTGATGTAATGCAATAATAAATTAATAGATGAGGCGTTTATGAAAGCGGGTATCGAGAACGATACATCTATTTTCGACGAAATCAACATCACACACGGAGGAGATCCATCATCATCAATCTCATTCTTTAGCACACTTCCGGAAGCAAGCGGATCATCATCAAATTTGTTCGACGATATTTTCAAGGACGATTTTAATAACATCAATCAAAATATTGCCGAAGAGATTATATTGGAAAGGAATGATGATGATGATGATGATGATGAAAATAATGATGTTGATGTTTCAATGCAAGGAATACTGTTTAGTGAAATCTTTAGTTCGTAATAACATGCTCATATGTGTAATAATGCATTTGTATATATAGTTAATAAAATTATAGGCTGTCTTTTCATATAAGGTTTTGATCATGATGACTTTTATTATTCAGTCAATGACAATAACATGATTCTCAACAAAATTTAACGCGAAAATCGCGCTTTCACCCAATAGTATATTTTCGCCATGTAAAGATTTTCCTGTATAACAATGGGGCGTTACTTTTTGTGGCGACAGTAGAAATCGGTTCAGAACAAATTCTGTCCTTTTTTAGAAAAAACGCGTGTTTATTGAACATGCTGTTTCTATTGTAGCCGACCGAACAATGTTCCGACCTCCGGACCAAATCAAATTAACCAATAAAGCCTTCCCACGTTAAATGAAAATAAATTCCGTCGCTTTAAATACTCTATTTGTTACCTTGTAATTCAGAGAAGAAAATGTATAGTCTAGCTCAGCGCGCAAACTCAATTTTTGCTTTTGCAATGACCGTAATATTTGGTCTCTTGGGTGCAATCGCATTTGTCTCGCCATACTTGCCGTCTTCGCCGACGGCCAGTATAAATATACAGGACATGCAAGTATGGATATATGATTACGGCGGAAGTTGGCACGAGTTTGCTTTTGTGAATATGGATATTGACGCAGGTTTTGATAATTGAATTCTCTTCTTTTCCATCTCTCTTCTCTATAAAAAATTTAATCATCAAATAATAGATTTGACCTCACTTTTCAATTGGAATACCAAACAATTGTTCGTGACGGTAGTGGCAGAGTACGAATCCGAGACACATGTATGTGTCGGAAATAGAATTCGCAATTGGTTTTAACACAGATGATAATCAGTTAATAATAAAACTCGCCATTTTCAAGGACGTAAATCAAATTGTACTATGGGACTCGGTGATCAGATCAAAAGAGGACGCTAACATAACATTAAAACAGCTTCAAAATAAATATAATTTTCATGATATATCACCAAGTTTTAGGTGAGTGATTCGAATAAGTGAGCGATCGCGTTGAATCTTTTTATTTTTTGTTAAATATTTTTCTTACCTTTCGTTGATAGCGGATTGAATGCCACATACTCGCTTCATTGGGATATAATGCCACATGTTGGAGGATTAAAGAATGGACAAGTGAAAGCAGTTACTGAGATAAAATTCCCGGCACCTGAAAACAAACCTTCCAAATAAAAGAACCTGTCACTCTAATCTTGGGGGAAAAAACTCTACGCGGTGAATTAAATAATTAATGATATATATATAATGTAATGTTCCACGATTCTCAGCAACAAAAAAAAATAATATACTTATTAGATAGGTAAGTGTTTGCAAATAATATTTGGTAACGTTTAAGATTAGCTAATCAGATGACACTTGCAACAGTGAAGATAATAAAGTTACACCTGTTTCAGAATTTATAAAATACTTTTTTAACATTCCTCCATAATCATCCAATTTCACTTTTCCAAGAATGATTAAGAAGGGATTGGATTATAAAAATTCTTTACATTAATTTATGAAGATCAAATTAAATTTTTCAATTCCACATGATACGATATGACTATAATAATAATGTATCTATTTTGAAATTACATAATTACTTCAACTGTAATATAAATTATTTCATGACACAAGATCACCATGTATGAAAAACAGATTCAGCATTTTCGACTGCAGCTCTCGCATCGTTCTTGTAGAACACGAAATGACCTTGTAACTGTGCAGTGCTGATCCCTCTTCCTTTTATTTTATCGACAAATTGTTCCGCCCATTCGTGTTCCCCTTGGTAGAATCGAAGGAACATTGAGCGAATCTGATGCTCGGTCGCGGTTCCAAAATGTTCTTTCATGTCAACACGCCCAGGACGTATTAAAGCTCGGTCTAGACGATCAACATGATTTGTAGTCATGAAAATTATGCGTTCTTCGGCTGACGCCACGCCATCCAAAGCATTTAGCAAACCACTGAAGGTTACGGTTGATTGATAACTGTATGGAAAAGTGATCCATTTTTTTTTTGTTAATTAGGTTAAATAAAAAGTTCAATTATAGTAAACCTATTAAGACTACACCAAACCTCTGTTGATTTGGTGCCAATCGTTTAGTAAATGCCGCATCGATATCTTCTAATAAGATTATGCTTCTTTCTGGTGCATTGCTTAATAAATGATTCATTCGATCATCAGTTAGACCACGTTCACTCAAATTCAATAAGCAAATATTGTACTCCAATTCTCCTGCAAGTGCTTGAATAAAGCTACTTTTGCCACTCCCCGGAGGACCATAGAGCAAATATCCACGACGATACGGAATACCTATAACACAATACAAATAGCACAAATAATATTCATTAAATTAGAATCTCAGGTTAACTCGATATCAAGTATAAGATAAAAACGAAAAAATGCTCACCCATTTCATAATACCATTTTCCATTATTAATAAAATCGCGAACATCCCGCACTATCTTTTCCTTTATGTCTTTATCGAGAATAACTGAATCTAAAATTCTGCGTTTTCGCGGAAGCCCAAACGGCCTCCATTCAGGGCCAAAACTTGTATATATAACTGTTTTTCCCTCCTGTTTTGCTAAAGCAAGTTGTCGTGCTTCTCGAAGCAATTCGGTGAAAATATCACGATCACGATACAACGCAGTCAAAGTAATAGTTTCCCAAGGACTACCAGTCGTCAAATCCATCATTTTGCTATCTCGTTGACGTTGAACCTATGACCTTCAAAAAAAAGGAGTTTCGTCAAATAAGAATTGAGTAATTTGATACTTTTTTTCGTGTTATCATTCGGAAATATATTTTTTTCCAGCCACCTGAATCCAAGCACCACGCCATTTGAAATAATGAGTTCCGGGACCTGGGACGAGGCTAAAATTAGTACTAACACTTCCGTTATCGTGTTGTATAAAGGACGTCTCAACGGCATATTGATGAGTTCTGCGTAATGATTGTTGAGACATCCATTGCAAGAACCACAGGTACGACTTGTCTTTTGAAGGGATTTCCAACGAGACTATTAATCGACGACGCGCAAAGCTGGCTCCTCTAGTCAGACCCTGTCTTAGCATGGCTAAACCAGCGCCAAAGCCAAGAACTCCGACTCCAGCCGAAAAGTAGGGATTATTAGAATCGAAGAGGTTTGTAAAAAAATTGGTCGGCATTTCAAAACGATATTTTAAAAATTTAGGATCAACACAATTTGATACAGATAAGATAATCTTAACTTGATTTCAATTATTTGTTTAACCATACAAAGTTTTACAAAGGTAATTCCATGTTTTATCTCGATAGCAAGTGACTTTATTGAACTTAAAATTATAAAGCGCTGGACTATCAATCAAACAACAACAATTGTATACATTAATTTCAGTTGGTACTTTCGTATGAAATGCTATTATAATAATGGCGGTCGGAATAGGCTTAGTCACCCGCTGCGATAAAATGTAAAATCGATTATATTAGCACAAGATAATGGAATTGGAAGAAGGCCTAGCAAAACATAAATATTTGACTAATTTAACACATCGAGTTGCGGGATTGAAACATTGTCTCGATATAAGCAGCAATCTCCTTGATCTAATGAATCAGAAGTCTAAAATTTGTGTGCTTTGGGTCAATTCTAGAAGATTGTATCGCAGGATTTTTTACAATATGATTACTTGAGCTGATATAGTGGTGAAAAGACTTTGAAATTGATAGTATGTATACTCTCGGAAGGTATTTTTTTGACCTTTAGTATTTTATTCATTTTATTCAATTGGCCAATCGGAGCTCATGCAATTAATAACACGATTATCACGTACCACGCTAGATACTTAAATAACAATGACGAATCATTACCTCCCCAGAAAATGAAAAAAATGACTACTAAAAATATTTGTTTAGAAGAAATAATTCCTGGAAATCCCGTATTAGAAAGTGCCAAATTTATATTTGAGGTATTTGATAGTAAACAAAACATTTGTATTTTAGACAAGAAACAATAATAACGGTGTGTATATTTCCATTTAGCATAGTAAAGATGTCCAAATTACCAAAGAAGGTATATACAATGCCGCCAATATTGTGAGTTAAGCTTGAACTTTGTGTAAAATAAAGATTTGACATGTTATTAAAGTTTCTATTCTTTCTAAAAGATATTTGAAAAAATGAAACAAAAGGAATATTCTGTAAAACATTGGAAGATGAATGATCTACATCCTCAAAAAGCAGATGAAGCGGCTATCAATTGGTACTGCTAGTTCTTAATATATATGATATATATTCGATTACGAAAAATAAGAAAAATGACTGTAAACTTGACGAATTGATATTTTCGTTTTGAACAATGATCTCAGGATTTTTCTCGTTGATTTGCTTAATTTTTCGTTTTGGTCAGATCTTGATAAAGAGGATATCCCGGGATACACGAGTCCTGACCGATATACTGTATTTTATAACAATCGTTCGTACACGGGTTATTGGTCATTGTGTGCCGCAATCAATCGAGGTTTGCGTTTTGCCTTGTTAAAACGAATAATCTCACCAATATGTTAATTAGTAGAAAGGTTTTCTTGATTTTTATGTGACAATTATATCAATTATACGACAATTATAAATAGCTTTGCAAAAAGGAATTCCTATTACAACTCCGGATTTTTACGCGTCAAAGGAGAGATTGAGTGATCTTGAGATTAAGCAAATATTTAAATCCGAGACAAGTGAAGATATTCCACTTTTAGAGGAGCGAATTGAATCAATTCGTCAAGCTGGAAAAATATTAACTGAAGTGAGTGTGTACATCGACTTTTCACACGAATCATCAACAATCAAATAACTTTATTTGCGTTGATATCTATTAATGACGAAAGAGATTCAATGGAACCTTTGCCACATGTATCCAACAAGCCAATCAATCTTCCCTAAAGTTGCTTACTATTATCGTAGAAAATTTCCCTTCGTTTCGTGATGAGGCGTCATTTTTAGGAAGAACAGGTAGATCGATTGTTTGATTAACTGTATTTTTAGGCTTTTAAATTAAAAATATTTTTTTACTTATTTAGTTAAATTTTATAAACGTGCACAAATATTAATCGCGGATATTTGGTATTGTTATAATAATCAAAATACAATTTTCGTAATATTATTATTCCTCAATCTGAGGATTTTTTTTATTTTCTTTTTTGTTTAAGGGCGTGTTTTGAGGGTTTAGGTTATGGCACCTTTCATGATATCGACGAGATTACAATGTTTGCCGATTACAGGTATTTATCTGTTTTTTCAATAAAACGAAAGAATGACTAAAATTCAAAAACGAGACAAAGACCATCTAATCGCGTGAACGCGCGCATTGGTGAATTTGTTAAGGCAATTGAACGAGCGATTAAGTTATGCGTAATTTACCGCTTAATCGTGTACTATGTTACGCGGTTGTCAGTTAAGCCATTCCCTATTCCTAACTTTCTGAATTTTTGGTTTTTATTTTCTTTTTTTCGATGACACGTCGAAAGAGTACCTCAGGTAAGTGTGATAATGTCTTAAAACGGTAGAAAAAAAAATCTTTTGTATCTAATTGTTTATATTTTAGGCGCTTCACCATCTCCAAGCACTTTCTTACTCTCCATTCCTTAAAGCTACCCTCGATAACTATACACTATTGGAAAATGGCTCACAACTGGAGATAGAAATTCGCGGTAACGTAATAAAAACATATGCAGACTCTATTAATAATAAATTACTAATTAATAATCATTATTGTGTTCGCGTAAAAAGGATGTTCAATATGGGCAGTTGAATTGATACGTCGTCATATCACGCAAAAATTATTATCGGAAGACGGAAAAAATGAAACGGAGGATAACGAACCACTTCGTGTCAATGCCATACTTTTAGATTACTATATCTGGGATTTTGCTTCGTCCAGTAAAACAGCGTTGAACGTTAAAGCACATAGAATTAGAAGTATTTTTTATTGATCGTAAGAAAATAGATAACAAAACTTTATGGTGGTTGAGTTTGTGAAATACAAGCTTTTCCACATGCTATATATTATATCTATGCAAACAATTATTTACTTTCTAGATACTCGAAAAAAGTGCGAATGTTTTTTCTATATTATTGTGATATTTATATTCATAATAGGAACTATTTCTTTTAATGAACGATTTTCTTTGCGGGCAAAAAAAATTCTTACTCAACCCAACTATGTTTTTGATAATAAATTAGTATCAGTCGAAGAATTAAATAACAATTTGACCTTGCGAAAAAAATGTCGCAAGAAGTTGTATTAATTGTACTTTTTTATCACGAAAAACTAAAAGTTATCTGATTTACCTTACATTTTCGTATTTCTTGATAAGAATTATCTATCTTAAAAAAATCATTTTTCTTCAACTAAAAATACTAAAAATTCGGTCCTCTCAATGATTTGTGAAATTAAATTAAATACAATTTTTGTTATTTATTGTTTTTTCATACTGAAATATTAAATTGGTTTAATCTATGAATTAACAAAAGCTTAAAATGAGCCCCAGAAAAAATAAATTGAAAATAATATACGATAGAAGACGCGTCGTCCGACAAATAACAAACCTTAAAGTGTAATCCGATCAAAGAGAACACTAGACATTTCAAATCCTGAACTAGATAGTAGAACACTCGAAGACCTTCCGGATCGTCACTTTCTTGTACGTCAACCAGTGATCCGATTTTTGCAGTCTACGCAAAATAACATTGATTTTTAATATAGCATATATGTAAAACAAAAGATAGATACATAATAGGAAGAACTTAATTAATACTTCAAATGAAATATGTTCGTTTCCAAGACGGATTTCTAGTTCTTGTCTCCCGACAACATTTTTCTTAGGCCATCGTGCATCATCTTCTCTTAAGTAATAAGAAAATTATATACCGAGTGCAAAATGATACGACAATAGGTTAAATAAAATTCTGTTAATAGATTTCTCATTAAAACACATTGACCATATTATTGTTAGGAGAGAAGAATTATGGTATACAGAAAGAGATCAAAAAGTACTTACTTCATGATCTCACTTTGCTGAATCATCTTTCGCAGTTCTTTCATCATTAATGGACTCACATACACTGTTAGATCAAAAGAAATAATAATTAACGAGAAATCCAAATAAAAGAAAATAATCAATCATCTCCTTTCCAGAAACAATCTTTTTCAAGCTCAAGGGAACAGAGTACATAGATGTATTACTACATACTTTCTTTTCGTATCAAACTATCATTTCTGTAGTTTGAGTTATTGGCATAACGACAACGACCATCCGCACGAAACTCAAACTCTAAAAATTCGTGACCATAACGTCCCATATGTCCAGTACTAATAAAATTACCTTTTTCAGTATAATTTTACTCAGGAAAAAAAAAATAAAGCTTAGCTCTAAACTTACTAATATCTCACATAAAACTCGTCGTCTTTATTATTACCAGCCATTATAGATACTTTTTATGTTGTTGTAGGTTTGGACGCAAAATATCCGTGAGTTGTTATAGAATTGTGAGTTTTAAAACTTCTCGTTCTGAATTATAAAAAAATTAACGTTAACATTATCGTTAATTCACGTGACATGTGATTCGAACATGGCTAGATTGCCAGTATCCTAAAAAATACCCGAAGAACATTTTGCGATAGTTGAAGGTTTGCATAAATACTAGAACTTAGATCGCGTTTACTATTTTTCGAGTGTGCCGAGATTCTAATGCAACAAGAAGAAAAATTTCATGGTTCCTTTGTTCCTCAAGATTCATACAACGAGCTGGTTACGCTTCCTCCCGATTTGGAAGCATCTGTCACAGAAATTTGGCAATCAAATGATCCACTTGATAGTAGCGACTTCAACCCAATAGAATATATTAATCAGTTGCTTCCCAATGGTAATTTTACTGTATAATTCACATTTTTCAATTAAAAAATAAGATGTCGAGGTAATTAATTAAATAAAGAGAAAGAAGATTGATCAATTTAATAATATATTCTATTAGAGGAATCTTTGGCATCGGTTGATATTACCATGAAAAAACTACAAATTAAAATGCGGCAAATCGAAAACAAGATACGTGAATTAACTAAAACGAAAAAAGATTCTTCTGGTGGAAGTCAAGGAACCGAGGAGTTGATCGCGACAAAGAAAGCTATAGAGGTTGGTTTAGGTAGCATTGATGTCGCAAAATATCGCGTGATGTTAGTGTTTATGAAAAATCTGTTTGCGGTTTGAATTCACTTTATTACATTTTTTTCACAGGAACTCTTTGAGCGTGTAAAACAAATAAAAGAGAAAGCTACGCAATCGGAAATCATTGTGCAAGAGATAACGCAGGATATAAAGTCTCTTGATTATGCTAAACGACATTTGACAGTTTCTATAACTACATTGAAACGGTTGAACATGCTTGGTAAATATCTCGATAAATATCCGGTTCATCTTACAAATATAAATTAATTTAACGTTTTATCAAATTAGTGGTAGCCATCGATAAATTGAAAAAAATGGCACGTGTAAGACAATACAAGGAAACATCGCAACTCTTGCAAGTATGCCTACCGCTTCATGACCGTGTTTAAATGATCTTGCCAAATATATTTATCTGTCTTATATATGTGTATTACATACATTATTTAAACAAATAATATAGGCGGTGTTGGAATTAGCAAAACACTTTCAGCGTTACAAGAGTATTAAACAGATCTCGGATTTATCTTCGTCCGTTACCTTATTCCAAAATGACCTCAAACAACAAATATTTAGAGATTTTGATTTGAGGTACATAAACATGTGTCAAACACCTTTCGGTCTTGTATTTTATAAATTCTAATTTTTTTGTATTATACGATATATAGCTTTTCACAGGATGGGAGTCTTATTGCTCAGGAAGCACCACTTGCGGATGCTTGTTTGGTAATGGAGGTTATGGGAAAAGACATAAAGTGAGTGTGAGTGATTTTTTTTATATTTTGTAGATATTTTATTATTTAAAAAAACCTTGAAATCATTATTGTTATCATTGATATTAATAGAGATCAACTTTGTAATTGGTATTGTGAGAAGCAATTGCGCGAATATAAACGAATATTTCGGGATCGTGAAGAGGCAATTATTAAAAATTTAGAGAAATTCATTTGATTTACTATTCTGTGCATACTCAATTTTTGACTTTTTTTAGATGGCTTCCATTGACAACCTGACGCGAAGATACGCGTGGTTAAATCGTGCAATAAAAAATTACGAGAAAGATCATACGATCATTTTTCCCGAGCACTGGCGACTGAGTGAAATTCTCAGCTGGAAGTTTTGTGAAATAACTAGGTATGGTATTAATATATGGAATCTTTTATTTTTTTAATTTGTTAAATGAATGTTATTTCTGTACTAGAGAAGATGTATCCAATACGCTTAAGACGATTGCGAATGATCTAGATGTTAAGGTTTTGTTGAAGAATATGCAGCTTACTATTGAGTTTGAAAATCAATTGTCGAAGAAATACAATAATTTAGTCTGTATTGCTAGCATTGTTCTATGTGTCATAGTTATTAAATAACTGATAGAATTATATGCATTATTGCTCTTAGGAAAACCCAGGCTCGCCCTCGTCTACAGATTCGCCAAAACGATACGAATTCAAAAAAAGCATTTCTATATCTTTCCAACCTTATCTTGGCATTTATATAGACGCGGAAGACAAGTAAATAAAAAGGATATAACAAAAACGCATTGACTTTTTTGAAAATAAATTTAAAGATTTTACTTTTTATTTGGAATTCAATAGAGCAATATTTGAAATGATCAATTCATACCACACCGAATTGATTCCTGACGAAGATCCGGTATTCCTATCAAGCACTGACCTATTCTACTATTATGGTGAGACGCTTAAAAATTTCGCAAAGTTGTCGACAGGTCAATCTTTTCTCGATTTGGCTGGTATGTTTGGTAAATGGCTGAAAATTTATGCGAGTGATATATTGATCGGAAAATTGCCAAAGTATGTATGTTGACTTTTTATCGGGATTTCCTACTGTTAAATCGGATTCGTTGGTGTGCGGTTTCATATTAACCGATTGATTGTTCTTCAAAATCAAAAATTTAATATAACCGAATTTTTAGGGAAGAAAAACGTGAAATGACGCGACAAGAGCTCAGAACTATTTGCATAATTCTGAATACTACAGATTATTGCTATAATACCACATCACAAGTGAGCTAGAATACAAATTTATATTATTGATGTTTTCGAATCGTTCGAAAAAAAGAATTCATTAAATTTTTCTGTGATATTCGCTTATAAGCTCGAAAACAAATTAATTGAAACAATCGATAAAGAATACAAAGATAAAATAGACTTTGAAGCTGAACGTGAAGCCTTTCTAAAGTAAGTTTCCTCCTTCTCCATATATAATTTTTATTGCATTCTATTGAAAACTCTTGAAACTTCACTCATTACAAAAGCTTATAATAAAATGTTTCTAATTACAGTGTCGTTACAACGGCAATAAGAAGTCTCGTAAAAGGAATCGAAACTAACTACGAAGACGTATTCACAATGATGAGCAAAAACTCATGGGGTGACTTGGAATCAGTGGGTGACCAGTCCGATTATGTCTCGATGTTTCAATCAACCTTACGTACGAGTGTTGTCGTTATTCATAAAGGAATCACAAATAATCGGTATTTCCGGATATTTTGTGATAAATTCGTAGAGTAAGTCAGTCGTAAAAAATAATCTCTTTTGTCTAAGGATTTAAGTTAATTGTAGATTCCCTTTAAAAAAAATATTTTAGTTCTTTTGTGACGCGTATTATTAATAATTTGACAAAGTGCAGGCCTATTTCTGAAATAGGAGCTGAACAGGTAAGCATCTTCCAATTAGTTTACTATCCCTGACTTTCTATCTCTTATCAGTCATGCTTATAATACTCTCACTTAGTTATTGCTTGATATTCACGCTCTTAAAACAAGCATTTTGGAGATACCAACATTAGGTATCGAAAATCCTGCGCCTCCATCGACGACGTAAGTGTATATGATTTAAAATTATTAACAACTATTTTTTTAATAAAACATAATCATATTTTGAATTTTTTTAGATTTGTAAAAATTGTCAATAAAGGAATAAGCAAAATAGAAATTATCCTCAAATTGGTGCTTACTCCTCATGAACCACCGGATGGCCTGGTGAGCAATTACATTCTTCTTATTGGGGATAGAAATCCGGCCAATTTCCAAAAGATACTGGACTTGAAAGTATGACTCTACTACATATTATGAACTGAAATCCTGATTTTAGGATCATGTGCTAATATGAATAATGTTCTAGGGTATAAAAAAGATTGAACAACAACCGATAATAAACATATTTCAACAGCGCGTGCAAGATCACCCTAATCTTGTGGAAAACTCGAATATTCTATCGTTGATGACATGGTCCACATCTACTATCATACAACAATCGCTTCCAAACATTCTTAATAATGCCACTTTGTTAGCAGCAAGTGATCGAATATCGATAGCTGATCGGAGTGGCGCTGCTGCTAATAGGTTTAATGTAGGCGTTCGAAAAGTGTTGGCTGGAAGAACGTGGCTTCGTAAAGACGGAGGAGGAAACAATGATGATTCTTAAAATGAGTAATAATGATCACCATAATAATGATAAATAAATGCATCATAATTTATTATAGTTAGCGTTAGTTTAATTGAGTCGATTTTATCGTTATTTTAAAAAAATTGAATTTCCTTATTGGGCGTAAAATTGTTCGCTTCTGAGCGTGATACATGCATTTTCACAAAAAAATTTTGTATAGGGTCATGTTGCCACGCGAATTTGTCTACATACACATGTTTATACATGTACGTTTCAAGCCACACCATCTTATCAAAAAAACAAACAAACAAGCACAAATAGAACCGTATCGTTATTATTATCAGTATTTCTATATTTTTTTTAGAAGATAAAAAGGTTTGCACTGCGAGCTACTTTCAATGTCACTACAATTCTTTTCACAACTATCTGATAACCTTGGAAGACTACTCGAGTACGCGGATGACTTTAATGTCATTGTAAAAGTTGGAAATCACCCAGAGTTTGCCGTATTTCAAGCGCACTCTGTCATCTTACGAGCTAGGTCTGAATATTTTCGTGCGGCCTTATCGAGTAACTGGGCGAGAAAAGAAGGCGAGTGCTTTGTCTTTGAAAAACCAAATATTTCACCGGCTGTGTTTGATGTAGTCTTAAGGTAAGCACGCAGCAAACAACCCGCAAAATATACCTAAATTTTAGTCCTCGTTGTTATTATTATTATTATTATTATGTTTCTGGGAAAGATTATTTATTATACGCGCACATCATTTCCAATATTCATTAATTTTATCTATGGAATCTAAAGATATATTTATAGTGGGGCAATATACCTCGACCATCAAGACGGTGACGACGTTTTAGAATTATTGATTGCCGCTGACGAGCTGATACTTGATGAGTTAATTGAACCATTGCAAGAGCATCTCATACGTAATATGGAGAAATGGTTCAAAGAGAATCTCTTACGAATTCTGGACACAGTTATTCAACGTGATGCATGTCTTAAATTACGAGAACATTGTTTAAATATTTTATGTCCGGACCCATATCGATATTTTGACTCTGAAGATTTTATTAATTTAGAGGAGAGCACAGTGATTATGCTTGTTAGTCGTGATGATTTGAAAATGGACGAGGCACAATTATGGGAATATTTAATTAGATGGGGAGTGGCAAATACACCAAATTTAAAGAATGATCTATCCGCTTGGTCACGACGAGACTTTTGGGAATTGAAAGTGACTTTGCACAAGTGTATCCCGCTTATTAGATTATGGCAATTATCGGTGGGGGATTACAACGAAAAAGTCAAACCATATGAGAAAATCCTAACCAAAGATTTAAAGCTTAAACTGTCACGTCATTTTACAAAGACCCCTGTTCCATCGTTACCTGAACCTGCAACACTCACACCGCCACCATCACCGCCCAATTTCATATTTTCGGAACGGGCCATCGATTCTATAATTATCACACATCTACAGGCTGCGCTTGTCTCTCGTTGGATTGACCGTAAATTTGTTAGTACGAAAACCTCATTTATTGATATATTACCCTCAAAATACTATTTCAAATTATTATTCCGGGGTAGCAGAGACGGATTTTCGGCGAAGATGTTTCATGATCGATGTGATAATCGCGGACCGACAATTGTTGTAGTGAGGGTTGAAGATTCAAAAGAAGTGATTGGCGGGTATAATCCTATTGGGTGGAGTAGTCCGCGGGAAGTTGAATGGAAGGGAACAAAAGATAGCTTCATTTTTTCATTAGGTGATGCAAAAGAACTAGATATGGAAAAGGCCAGACTTTCACGCATAAAAGCTGATTGTACGGAAGATGCCATACAACTGCATGAAGGACTTGGACCGTCTTTTGGTTTTTATGAATTTAAAATATTGGACGAGGCGAAGGAATGTAAAAGTAGTTATGGTACTGGTGGATTACGCTATCAGAACAAGATACGCGAAAAATGCAATTATTTTGGAGTTGATGATTACGAAGTATTTCAGGTTGTAAAGAAAGAACAGGAAAAATTGTAGCTTCGAATTTCATCTTTATTGGATGATGGATTTTGTTAATAATTGGAAAGTATAGGAAAAATCAAGGGTTAGTAAGTAAAAACCGCAATTTGGGGGGTTGGGAATAAGATGTAGATTTGAGGGGAGGATGCGGCGTAAAAGGAAAGCGGTTAACTCTGGGATGAGAGATTAATAGTAGCAGACGAGTATCAATTGTGAAGAAAAAGAATAATCATTGATTCTCTTACTAGTCTCTCTGTATTTATCAATAAGCAAAAAAAATCTCTAGAAACCTGTTTAACAGAAGAGAGATATAACAGACGTTTAATTAGTGCATAAGCTGTTGATGCTACTACACTTCCTCAATTTTGTATATAGTTCGTTTTTAGTTTCACTTAGTGTCTCATTGTTATTCATTATTATCATCATCAATCATAATCACACACAATCACATTATTCATCTCATTTACATACATATACATATATGCATACATACACACACACACATATTCTTGATTTAGCATTGATTTTTTTTAACAGACAATAGCCTTTTTTAAAAAAAAATTAACCTCATTATTCTATTCTTTCTATCACATACATCTCATTTTTTTTCATTGTAATGTGTATCATATAATATTTTTTTCGTTTGGAAATTATGCACATTTCGCGTTTTTTCTCTTCGTTTTCTGTCTACTTACCGCCCATTACGATTTGTGTCCTCCCACTCTTCGATGTAATATAATAAAATTTCATCCCGATGTTGATGAGATTTGCGTGGACACTCACCTACGATAGCAAATTTCATAAAATCAAAATCCAATTTAATTGTACAAGTAAATTCGTATTTACTACGATGCTTAATTTATTATTTAGATACACTTCTTCAATTAAATATCTAAAAAAAATTATTAACTAAGTGATTTTCTAAAAAAAGTAAAATATAATACAAAAGAAATATTCTAAAAATAGTCCTTGCTAATTTTATCAATACTTGCAGTTCTCCCAACCCGACTACTTGGTCTACTATAACCCAGTGCGGCAACAGCACTATTTCCATTTATCAAAATGCCAGCATTATTGCTAACTCCAGATGTTGAATGTTGTCCAATATTATTATTATTATTGTTTGTGTTATTATCATTATCGTTACTATTGTTATTATTAGTGAGAATAGAATTTCGTGGTGACATAGACGACGGAAATGCAGATGATCGTGATCCAGTCGATGATGGTAAATACGCTCCATTATAATCGGATGTTTTTGAGGTCAGGTTTATTATTGAAATGTCTGTTTTATTAATTTCGTTATCATCATTATCATTAATAACTATATTATTATTATTATTATTATTTGATATTATGGCGGTAGAATTACGTATATTTCTTATTGTTGAATAATCTAAATATAAAAAATCTCGTTAATATAATTTAAATGAAAAAGAAAAAAAAATTAAATTATTAAACTCTCGCTCACCTGTATTAACCGAACCAAGACTATTTGCACGTTCTTTCATCTTACCCAAGTTTGTATAACTCATAGTTCTTGATGAAAGTCCATTCACAGAAATATTAACCACTGGTTGTGGACTAACATATCCTATTTCAGTATTACTACTACCATTCGAGAGGTTATCCTTCGTAGAGATTTGAATAGATTCCATATCATTGATAATCCCATTTCCATTAATAATAGTATTACTGCTGCTACTAGACGAGGACAAAACATCAACTTGGATAAAGTCAAAATGATCCTCGTCAGTATCATTATTGATACTTCTTGATGATGACGATGACTTGAAGAATAATCGAATTGGCGAAGTAATTCGCAAAATATAGGGTCTTATGCGAATTGAAACCATTTTTACAAGATTAAATAAAGAAGCAGAAAAAGGTGATTCTGAGTATTGTCCGTTCACGCCGCTTCCATTATCGAGGATTCCATAATCGGGCCCACCATCTCGAGCACTACTTCTTCTAGAGGAAAAAGAAAACGGGGAATATAATATTCTCGAAAGAAATCCAAAATTAAGTCGCCTTCTTTTCCCATACCCCGATTTCTTTGTTATTCCCCACCAAAATCCAGTACAACAGAAGAACAATATCGACAAAAGAATAATCCATTCTATCAAATAATTATAATACCCAAATAATCCACGCCCTTGCGGTTCCGGCGGTGGATGAGTTGGCGCTATCGCGATCGGAATTAAATTTGATGCTTCTAATACCATTTTGCCCAATGTCCAACTAACTTGAATATCTTTTATTTTATTAATACTTTGAAAAGGTGGTGTACTTGTTATCGTGTTATTATGATCACTACTTTTTAAATAGTCATTTGGTGATTTTGGAAGATTAATTCCTTCATGTAACATATTTGTAAGCCATGCCGCTTTAAAACATTGCATTTCTAATCGTTGTAAATCAACACCGGAACTTTTCCATTCTTTGTTTTTTTGATATTCAACTTGAAGATCATTCCAATGTCTTGCGCAATATTTGCTGGCTTTTTCCTTGAATTTCACGTAATCCCATTCTCCGTCAAACCCGAAAATTTCATGAGTCGAATACCAAAATTCCGATATTCCAATAAAATGATTTACCGAGAAATCAATATTCGGTGTATGAACCCCGTTAAATAAACATGGATTATCGTAACATGGCGCTGTTTTATTGATTAACGGTGAGGTTAATTCGAGACATTGGTCGAATGATCCAGTTCCTTGTAATGAGTAGTACGGCGGTTTTGTGGTCGTATCGGTGAGTATTAAATCAACAGGTAAACATGGATCTTTTAATAGGGTGGTTGGTTGTTCCCTTGCACTTTCTGGATTAACAAATAGTTGCGCATGATCTTTCATGTAATTGTGAATACGTTCTTCTACATATCTACGTCGTGCTTCGTTAGTTCCAAATCCCAAGAATGTAGAAACAAATACATTATACTCTAATGGTATGCCCTCCAAAGTATATAAATTTACCGGAGTTAAATCATTCGCGTGTTCTTTTGCTTCTTTAACATTGGGAACGAACGCGATCTGTGCACTCGCACCACCCATATCCAAAAATCCGAATGTTGTCGTATGTCCGCCATCAATTTTTTTCTTCACATGTTCATCTGCAATATATCCATTATTCACATTTGTATGGTTGTTAACTGCACCGCCGAGTTTACTATCTGTATCAAATCCACCCTTTAAATAATTCACGGCTAACCATCCAAAAATTCCTTCCCATTCACCGGTTATCACTTGAACATGATCACTACATCGATCTACACGAAAGAAATAATTGTCCTTGATAAATGTACATGCGTTCTCGAGAATTTGTTGTTGTTCGTCAAATTCCAGCAATCGCATTCCGGCAGTGGCCAATACATAAACTGGTGTTGATACAACTAAATCTGGTGGCACAACTTCCAATGCGAAATCTAATAGTCCTTTAAGATGATCCGGTCCAACCAGTGTTGGTTTCCTCGCAAAACTCGATATTCCTACAAATCCAAGAGAAACAAAATTTAAGAACTTTGAATTTATGTTTATTTTATTGTTATTTACGTGTCAAATGATATTTATACCTGGCTCCACCTTTTTCTGCCAACGTTCACCTTTCTCATCCCCAAGTTCGACTGTAGGGAGCGCAGAAAGTTCGCTAACCGGTTTATTATGTCTCACCCATCGATGCTCTTTCCAAGAGTATATTTGCACTCTTGATCCAGAACTACCAGCATCTATAACTACTCCGAAATTTCTATTTTGTAACCAAGCACTTCCAGTTGATGGCATCGTCCTGGTCGTCTTTTTCTATTTCTTCAAACGTTTTTTATAAATAAGTATTTGATTATAACATACGTGGCAATAGCGATAATAATTTTAATATATATGCTGCAAGAAGTTCTAACCGGATTTATATCAGGTTTATATACCGTATTAAAAACCCGTTTCATTTGCTAATCACGTTGATTCACGTTTATAAAAAACTTTCAACCTCATCAAAAACAAATAACGAATGTATAGAGTTGTATGAGACTATGGACGACATGACGACGTTTTAGTCGTTTTAGTAATGATCCTGTGGTGGTAAGGTAATAATCGATGATATCGCTTATCATTTAATAGAATACTTCGTCTTTTCTTAAAGTTTACAAAGAATCACTAGATCCCTTTATAGTTATTGCTTGCGCTCAAATAAGAATGCTATTGTAGACTCATTTAATCTCTAAAAATTAATCGAATTATCATGTTCGAGAACTTTTATTTCATTGGATTTTTGATAATTAATACTATAAAATTTAGCATAGTTAGAATTTGTAGATATATCACGAAAAATAAGGGGACACGAAACAAATATCATATTTTCTATTACTTCCAAGAGGATATGATACATTGAAAGATGTCAAGATAGAAATTCGGTCGTAGACAGAAACGACAGCTCGTGATAATGAACGAGAACAAAGAAGTAAACGCCTTTCTCTTTGAAGCGGATCTTTATCTTCCGTCTCACCATCAATAAGTGATTTAGACATGTTCGACATTTTTAATTTATTGAATACCGCAAAGAATAATAGTAATTGTACGTTATACAGATTAGGAGAATCATTCTCACACTAATAAATGAATCAATATTCTGTGATTGCGTAGTTGCGATTAAAAAATCCCTATGTCAAATGTGATTTTTCGTGAATTTTAATATTTGATAATTATTATGTTGAGAATGAGCTTTAATTGACGAAATAATGTATAGAAAAATATAAATAACGGAATCACAATAAGACACCTAGCGAATTGCGAGATATGATCACTATTTTTTAATAATCTTCATAGCATCAAATGCTTCTCGTTCAGCTTCTTCGGCTACAACTTCGTCAATTATCGGAGAAAGGTATCTCACATCCTAAGCATAAATTAAATCATTAGAAATCATCCCCAAGATAACAAGCAAATAATCAATAATCAAACATCTTAATCAAATGAATGGAACTACCTCTTCTGGTTTAGTCCATTGTTCCTTTGGCAAGATATGATGCTGCAAAGAAAGTTGATACGCATTACGAATTCGCACAGTACGATAGTTATCTTCGTGAATTGGTAGACGCTTCAATGCTTCTTGAACCGTTTCACTTTCTTCTTGTATGATGTCATCGTATCGTAAACCTTTTTTTATTTTGAGCATAAGTTAACAGCTGAAGTTACTACGGTAAAATAACAATAGTATCAAAATATGAGTCAAAAGAAATCATTCTCTCCGTTGTATTCGACGTTTCGATGATTTGATGTAAAAATACAACGTAATTGAATGGATACTGATAAGTATTAATTATCAGTATGATAAATATCACTGTCTCCGAGCAAATACATCGATCGACGATTACGAGAAATAACATACCAAGTTGTCTGTATCCAGACGCATTAGCGACGACATTAGCTATTGGCTTTAAAATTCTAGTAAGAAAGGGGCTTTTTCTAATGTAAGGTGCTAGCGTAGGGTATGACATCCTCTCGAAATACGTCACCTAAAAAGAATGATTTTTAGAGTTATAAAAACTGAATATCGCGCGTGATAATTATGGTGTTACACAAAAAAGGCGCAATAATGCGCGGTTGCGTCAGGGTGTGAACTATTTGCAAAAACCTCCTTTTTTTCGTTAAGGACGCGAGACATTTTATTAATACTAAGAAAGAAAGTATAACTTGAACTGCCACATATTCAAAAAGAGTCACTTCCCTCTATCAAGAATTGTATAATGACAATGACAACAGGAAAGATCAAATTAACTTCTTCCGAAGGTACCGAATTTGTGATAGATAAGGACGTTGGTGAAAAATCAATCTTGTTGAAGAATATGCTGGAGGATGTCGGTGAAAATGATATGGGTATTTTTTTTATTGTTCACAAATTTGCAATTTAGAACATTTGATACTATTTCTCAAGATCTCTTTCCGCTTAGATTTTTATTGTTGTGTGGAATTTTTATCATTCAAAATTTAGCGATCCCTTTACCAAATGTCACTGGACCTATTCTCACTAAAGTGATCGAATACTGCACACATCATCGCGATGATCCTGTCATCACCCAAGATGATGACAGCAAGAAAACCAGTGATGATATTGATGAATGGGATAGTGAATTCTGTAAAGTTGATCAAGGGACATTATTTGAACTAATATTGGTAAATACCATTTTCATCGCCTCTTGGTTGAATAGAAAAATCATTTTAACATGCTAATCAAAGTCTATTTCTTGTGGTTGACAGGCTGCTAACTATCTTGACATTAAACCACTTCTTGATCTTACCTGCAAGACCGTAGCAAACATGATCAAAGGTAAGTCACCCGAGGAAATACGTAAAACATTTAATATAACAAATGATTTTACGCCTGAAGAGGAAATGCAAGTTAAACACGAGAACGAATGGTGTGAGGAAAGAACTACGTAAAACATTGATGGAAGAGAACGAATGGTGTGAGGGAAGATAAATGTGTAGTCATAATAAATGTAGTTAGGGTGGATATGTAAGATTTACAAATGTATAAATAACTTATTTTTGTCATAATTATCTTTATACATAGAGTACTCATAAGAATACTATAAAAACAAATTTTTGAATACTTTTATTTAGATTATGTATATACTTGTATTTATTTTATTTTATTTTATTTTATTTTTTTTTGAATTTTAAATTGTGTTTCTTTGCCTCTTTTTTTTTTACCATCTTTTAAAACATAAAAAGATAAAAGTTGTCATTGAAAAGGAATCCATAAATAATTATTGATAATAACCGTGATCATGGTGAAAGAGTTCAAAAGTAATAAAAGGTTTCTTCTAATTGATTCTCGTATTAACGTTCTGCTCGATGAATCAACTTTTACAGAAAATTCTAAGTTGTAAGTTGAGGCTCAATAACGAAATTGAAACGTATTTCTTCGTGTTGATTCGATTCTAATAAATTCATGTTTAATCTACCAAAATTGTAGTAGATTATGCTGCAGTTCGTCGTGATTGTTAGCAAGTTTTTTAATTATATCCGCTGTGGAGTATTACGTTGTATAGATGAAGCTCTTAAAGACGACGAAGAACTAGGGCTCTGAGGCATAGAATTCCGTTCCTTGAAGCCGAAATACTTATATTTCTCAGGGAACGCAGTTCTACAACTTTGATACAAAAAATAAATGTCAGCATTATACATTAATATTTTACTAACAAGTATAAATTGAAAAACAAATTTAACTATTACCGATCCTTAAGATCACTGGCACTTCTATGTGCCAGTCCAAGGCTTTCGTCCTTAATTATTTTCGACCAAAATCGGCCGTACTTTATTTTGTTTGAAAATAATATTCAATAAAAATACGCAAAGAATTGAATGAATCTTATCTTTCGACATATACATACATGTATCGATATAACGCTCACACATTCAATAGAAAAATAGTTAAAAAATATACTGAAAGAAGATAGAATTTAAAATAATGGCAAAAAGATACATACTGTTTCAATTCCACGCAACAGCTTAGTATCTTCTTCTGCCGTAAACGCGTGTTTCTTCCTGTTCGGCTTGCACAGCGTAAATGGTGGTGGGTTTGCGTACGGCGAGTACCTTGATTCCGAACGCGGCTGTCTGTTATATAGCCGTGCGTATTCCTGCGGAAACAAACCGCGGAACCTATTTTTTTTAGTAAGGCGTAATAGTTGGTATAAGTTGAAATAACATGCATATTTCGCATTTCAAATAGGAAATAAAACTACATCTTTTATAAATTCAAAGTTTAAAAGCAAAGACAACTAAAAACACTTGCTTGTCCTTCAAATCCACTGGCCTTCTATCCTGGAAATTGTATTTCGGGTCATGAAGAATTTTGGCCCAATCACCAACACCATGCTATCATTTCAACGCAAATAGCAGAGAACGACATATTTTCAAAACAAAAAGGCATTAGCAAATACGAAAAATAGAGTCTCGTATATAAGAAATTTAAGTGTAAATACAGTATAGCATCCGTCAATTAGATCTGCAGTTTCGCTTGGAGTCCACCTACGTCTTGGGCGAATAGGGGAGAAATAATTGGAAGTATCTTGTTCCACCATACTTTTCCAAATTGTTTTGAAACAACCGGCTGATAGTTTATCTATTACACGTAACAGTCCGGAAATACCAGTCGGCTGAACCGAAGTGGATCGAAATTATACAATTTTTTTCTCGTGAATATTATTCTTTTTTTTTGGCAAGGAAAATGGGCAAACAGCGAAATTCTAGAGCTAAAGAACGACGTCACGATCCCTTACATGTTCAACTAGAAGACGCAGAAAAGTTGCCAACGAAGCCACCTCGTGCAAAATTTGCTAAAAGAAATCAAAAAGAAGAAAAAGAGGATGTTCGTGTTTTATATATATATATATTTTTACTGCGGCACATTAATTAAATTCATTGATATGATGGCATTTTTTTAGGAATATATCGAACCGAGATTGTCGCGCAAAATCTTGGAAATTGCTCAAGAACAGCAGGAGGAATTACACGAAGACGACTCTGATCAGTTAGATGATGATACTGATGATAACGAAAGAAAAGAATTGGTGAATAGCTTTTCTAATCGATCTGGACTCCGACACAATGAGATATTTGATTCTTCTGATGAAGAAGAAGACGATGACGATGAGGAAGAAGTTGAATATGAAGAACTGGTTTGTACCTTTACCCTTCATAATAGACACTTCAATTGGACTATTAAATCAATTTGGTATTATTACGGTTGATAAAGGAAATAGATGAAGCGGATCAAGAGATAATACATAAATTCATGCCAAGTGGAAAGCAAAAAGAGAAACTAACTTTAGCTGATATTATTATGGGAAAAATCGACGAGAAAAATGCAAAAGCAAAAAAAAAGGTCTCGCAAGGTACATATATCTCTTTTATTTTTTGATCATGTAGGCCATTCATATTTTTACAAATTTACGATAATAATTACTAATGGATTTGATATTTTCAAGGAAAACAAATAGATCCTAAAATCGTTGAAGTGTACACAAAGTAAGTAACAAATCCCTATTCTGTTTCATCCATTCAAAAAATATCGACACTTATCATATTATTTATTTTATTAAAGAGTCGGAACATTATTAAGCCGATACAAATCCGGTAAACTCCCAAAAGCTTTCAAAATCATACCCTCGTTATCGAACTGGGAAGATATTTTGTATCTTACGCGTCCAGAGAATTGGTCGGCTAATGCCACATATCAGGCAACCAGAATATTTGCATCTGTGAAGCCAAAACAAGCGCAAAGGTATTTTTTGCATTATGCTGGTTGAAATTAAGTTGTTAAGTTATTAATTAATTTCTCAATCTTAGATTTTTCGATTTGGTATTATTAGAAAAAACACGCGAGGATATCCACGAAAATAAGAAACTCAACTACCATCTTTACATGGCTCTAAAAAAGGCGCTGTATAAACCAGCGGGCTTTTTCAAAGGAATACTGTTTCCCTTGTGTGAGGTAAGTGAAAATTCTTGAAATCGCCTCCGCACATATTACACATAATAATTATTTTCTAAATTGATTTATACTCGATAAAGTCTGGCACGTGCACGCTAAAAGAAGCCGCAATAATCGGCAGCGTGATTGCAAAGGTCAGTATCCCCGTATTACATTCATCGGCAGCGTTATTACGTCTCGCGGAGATGGATTACAGCGGGCCGAACAGCTTGTTTATTCGCATACTACTTGATAAAAAGTACGCGTTGCCATATAAAGTGGTGGACGCGTTGGTGTTTCATTTTCTGCAGTTCAAAAAGGATGAACGTGTGATGCCTGTTTTGTGGCATCAATCGCTTTTGGTATTTGCACAGAGGTGAGTGATTGGATAGTTGATCTTAATAGTAATTTGATAAATATTGTTTATCAATTAAACTTTTATTTTTCATTTAGGTATAAACAAGACCTTACCCCGGAGCAAAAAGAAGCTTTACTCGATTTACTGAAATACAAGACTCATAATTTGATCACGCCTGAAATTCGTAGAGAGATAGTGAATTCTGTGGCGCGTGGTGAAATGTTGTATGATATTGAGATGAATGATGTGTAGTCATGATAACTTACGAGCAGATAATTCAATATTCACGAAATAAAAATAAGTTTTAATTGTTCCGATTTATGTATGAAAGAAAGCCGGATAGTTATTAATAGTCTATAATACTGACTTTAATATTCGTCATAAACCTATCAATTAAAAACTCGGCGTATTTTGGAATTACTTTACAGGAGAATACATGTTAAAATTTTCACATTTCTATACAAATCTGTGAGAATACACAAGAATATACCAGTGTTTCAATTACTTTAATACTAAATCGATATTAAAGACAAATAAATATTTATATTTCATGTTTAATCTGAATGAATTGATGTTTAGATATTCTATTTTTTTTTAAAAAATATAATATAGTTAATTCATATAAAATAAAATTAATCACTATTACTTGATATTATAATTATAAATATTTAATAAGTAGTCTAATTTTTGATATATAGAAGTAATTAGATTATAAATAATAAGAAGAAATAATAATTAATTTTTATATAATATATTATTTTGCAAATAATATAATAATTTAATAAAATAAATTTTTAATAAAATTTATAATTATTTTTATTGTTTTATAAATAATAAGTCAATTATTTAATAATTACCTATTTTTTTCTCATTATGTTGATTTTTTTTCTTTTTACTATATATCAATTTAATTTTTATTTTTATTATTTTTTATAAAATATGTATTTATTAATGTTTCTTATAATATAATATATATTATTTGAATAAAAAAGTAATTTATAAAATCTTTTATTAAATTATTTTATATCTTATTTTATTTTATTTCTTAAAATATAAAGTTATAATTATAAATAATAATTCAAAATAATTAATATAAAATAAATATTATTAATATTATAAAATCCTTGATATTTTTATATTAATAAATTTTTATTATAATTTTATAATAATTATTCTTTTGTATTAAAATTGTAAGTTATTAGAAAAATTCATATTTTTATTAAATTAAATATGATGAATTTAGATTAAATAAAATATTATAATAATTATTATAATATATAATGTAGCAAATCATATATAATACAGTAGATTAAAAATAAAATTAAATTAAAATAAATATATAAAATTTGATATAAAGAATTATAATACACTCAAATACTTGAATTTTAATTATAATTAGTAAAATATATATTTTCAATTCATATAAAAGTTTTTAAGTTTATTAATAAATATGTTTTTTATTTTTAGCTCAAAATGAAGCTAAGAGAATTGTTCTAATTGCATACAAAGTCAATTGATTTTCATTAATTATAAATTAATTGACTTTATAACTTTCTTAGAAAGTCTGAAAAAATATATTTGCATTATATTGTATTATAGTTATAAACGTTCAATTTGAATTTTTCAATTTATAGTAAAAAATTTTCTTTATAATTACATCTTTTTATAATTTGATTTTAATATACAAATGTTTACAAAGTTTCGTGATTACAAGAATAAATTAAATAATATATTTCCATTATATATTCGTTTCCCCAAAATGTAAAAATGCTACATTTTAAGTCGAATATTGATATATAGATACAGGAAAAGAAGAAATTTCAAAAATCAAGTAGTATCCATAAATGAGAGTATGTCAAATTATTAAACACTTTATTCTAGCAGATAAATATCAACGTTAATGATTTTACCATTGGCTCCTGGAAATTGCCGGTCTAAGAGTCGGACCGTACCATCCCCGACATGCATCAATCACGTGCCAAACACAAAAAGTTATCGCGTGCGATAATAATTAAGCATTTTCTACATTTTCGCGCAATTGAAAATTTGAATAAATGTACAATTACGTTGTTACAGCTCACAAACCAAGTACAGTACACGGTGCTGTGACAGGTAGTTTTACGTCGCCTGATGTAACAAACTTGATTCTACAGTATGTGTCATGTTTTTTTCTTTTTGATACCGATGAACAAGAGTTTTTACGGAAAATCGTTCTTTTATTTTTTAGTAAGTTGACGCGCGTGGAAATATTCGTGCTCGCGCCAGAAGGCTTAAAATCCTTTATAGATTTTCCTGTTTATGGTCGAATTGCTAATTTAAAGATATATCGTCCCATGGTAAAGTTAATTTACTCGATTTGTTTAAAAATTTAAAAGTATTACAAGTCGTGCACTAGTTTCAAAATTTATCTGCGGATTAATTAATTCCCTTTAAAATTGATTCGCTACGGAAATAAAATGTATCTTACAAAAAATTTTAAATACATTGCAATATCTAGGGCCGAAAAACAGATCTATTATTTATTTCCACCGAAGCATACAAGTTCTTTGTACTCTCATTCGACATGACATCACAAAACCTAGTAACCGAAGCGACAGGTGACTTATCAGAAAGAGTAGGAACACCGGTAGATAATGGACAAATATGCGTGATAGACCCTGCGTGCCGATTAATTGCATTACACATATATCACGGGAACTTGAAAGTGATCCCAATGGAAATGCCTCCATCTTCTAATCCAAAAAAAAGAGTAGTGATAAAGGGTCATAATCAAGCAATACGAGAGCCCGGGCAATTTAAAGACACGTTCAATATAAGGTAGGTAGGTAATATTGATTTCGACATGTTTCCTTGGATTTTCAGTCACAAGCGTATCTAAACGTAAGGGTATTATCAATCACAGGCTTTCAGAACTACAAATACAAGCTATGACGTTTCTATATCAGACTACCCAACCTACTTTGTTGATGATGCATGAGGATGTTCATGGCGTTCGTCAAATAAAAACCTATACTGTGAATATTAAGGATGAAGAGCTTGTTGAGAGTCCTTTACAGATTGAAGACGCTGGTGGGAATATTTTAGCAATAGCGGCTGTTCCTAAAGGTCATTTTTTCTTAAATTTTTTTTGATAAATTTTAACATAAGACAACTTTAGCTTAGTATGTATCTATAAATTAAAACATTTTTTTAGGTGGAATACTGGTGATTACAGATCTCAAGATTACCTTTTATGATAGAGATTTTCGTCCAAATGAGATCTTGCATTCAGAGCCAACACCTGTAAAGATGTATGCATTCATATACCATAGTCCCAAATCCGAAATTTAATTGTCAATTACTGACGACTGGGGATGTGGTTGGCTTCATTAAAATAGAATAGCTCCAATAGATCCAGATGGCTCTCGATATTTGCTTGGTGACGACAAAGGAGAACTACGTCTTCTAGTCATACCTGACGTCGGGCCTATGAAAATAGAAATACTTGGAAAGGTCTCTATTTTTAGTTCTTCCTTTTACTATTATATAATAGGGCTCAAATATTTTTTTATCATCATAGACTTCTTTGCCTCATTGTATAGTTTACCTAGATAATGGCTTTGCTTTTGTGGGATCCCATTTCCATGACTCCATGTTGATTAAATTGCGGCATGAACCTAATGAACAAGGTTCTTATTTCGATGTGGTGGAACGTTTCACGAATTTAGCGCCGATTGCAGATTTCTGCGTGGTTGATTTGGAAAGACAGGGACAGGTGTTTTTTAGAGTTATTTAAAGACATATTTTCTTTTAATACTTATTTAGAATGTCTAACCTTTTAAATGTAGGGACAAATAGTAACATGTTCAGGTGGATATCAAGATGGTACACTACGAATTATTCGAAATGGCGTTGGAATCACCGACCAGGCCACGCTTGAAATGAGGGGAATCCGTGGCGTGTGGTCATTGCGACCGTATTTTGATGCTGGGTTGGTTTAAAAACTTATATGCGGTTTGTTGTAGGGATCATAAATTTTATTGACAAAGATTTGCTTTCATTTTGTCTTCTACAGCTTTGATGACACTATTGTTATCTCATTCGCAAGTGAAACGCGTGTGCTGACAATGACTGACAGCGATGAACTACAGGAAGTCGAGGAATTTTATAATTTCAATTTGAATTATATGACATTATACGCGGCAAATATATTGGGAAACATGTTAATTCAAGTAAGCTTCCTTTATCCTACACTTGTTATTCGTCTTTTTTATTAATATTTTGAATTTTGTTAAGTTTGGCGGATTGATATCTTTAGATCACTGAAGAAAGTATACGGTTAATTAACTGCATGGATCAAAGTATGGCATCAGAGTGGTTTCCGAGTGTCTTTGAAAGTAAGATTACGGTCGCTTCTGTGAATCCAACTCAAGTGATTGTTGCACTTGGTGGTGGTTATTTGGTGTACTTTGAAATTAGAGGAGCAGAACTTGTGCAAGTAAAGTACGTTTAAGACTTAAAAAGTTCTATGTATTTGAGTAGTTCATAACCTCTTCATTTTTTTTAGTCAAACAAAGCTAGAGCATGAAATTGCATGTTTGGACATAAACCCCATTGACCCATTAACACCATACAAATCCTCTGTGGTAGCCGTAGGTCTATGGACAGAGATCAGTGTTGTAATATTAAATTTACCCGAATTAAGATTGCTTACCAAAGAATCACTTGGCGGAGAAGCAATGCCACGATCAGTTCTTTTTGCCACCTTCGATAATATACATTATTTATTGGCTGCATTGGGTGATGGACAATTATTCAATTTCATTTTCGACCCAGTAAAAGGGACAATAAGTGAGAAGAAAAAGTTGTTGTTGGGAACTCAGCCTGTTACACTAACGACTTTTATGTCGAATGGCACGAGTAATGTTTTTGCTGCTTCAGATCGACCGACTGTCATTTATAGCAGTAATAAAAAGTTGTTATATTCAAATGTTAATGCAAAGGTATGGTTCTTATTACAATTACCTTTGTTTTCTTTTTGATTTAATCAAATCGCTTTTTGCGTTTAAATTAAATATACAGGAAGTAACGTACATGTGTCCATTCAACTCCGCATCTTTCCCGAACGCTTTGGTAATCACACACGAAGAAGGTTTAACAATTGGGACAATTGACGATATTTCCAAACTTCATATTCGAACTATACCATTGAATGAAATGGCACGTCGTATATGTTACCAAGAAGCATCGTCGACGTTCGGTATATTAACAATTAGAGCGTATATCAATGAGCAAAAGCAGTGCTATTTCCGGATATTGGACGACCACACATTTGACAGTAATAAACCTTTTTTTTACACTGACGTGTATTCCTTTACTATTTAAAAATAATATGATGTCTTAACAAATTTACAGTCCTAGATACTTTTGGAATGGAACTCTATGAGGTCGTGCAGAGTCTTACTACTGTCAAGTTTGATGATTCTTCGGATTCTCCAGAGTTTTATGCTGTTGGTACTGCTTTTGCATTACCGAATGAGGATGATTGTCGTAAAGGAAGGATTTTAATATTCTTGGTGGAGAAATCAGAAACAACGCAGAAACCAAAATTACGTTTAATATCTTCGCTAGAAGTAATGGGAGCAGTGTATTCTTTGGCGCCATTAAATAATTATTTGGTTGCTAGTATTAATTCAAAGGTACACCAAAGTTGAAATTTATTTGAAATCCGAGTTTCATCGTTCCTATTAATTTTTTTCATACATAACAAACATATATGTATATAGGTGACAGTCTTCAAACTGAGCGCACTTGACGATGGTCCTGCTCTCGTCCCGATATGTAGTAAACATGGGTTCTCATTGGTCTATTGTCTTGTTACAAGGGGCGATTTTGTGATTGTCGGCGATCTTATGCGATCTATCAGTTTGTTGCTGTATAAACCATTAGAAGGAAAACTTGAGGAAATCGCCAAAGACTGGAACATGAATTGGATGAGCGCAGTTGAAGCACTCGATGACGATGAGTACATTGGTGCGGACACGAGTTATAATTTGTTTACGGTGCGGAGGAATTCCGATTCGACACTTGATGATGTGAGAAGTCGGTTAGATGAAGAAGGGGTCTTTCATTTAGGAGATATGGTTAACCGATTTCGTCATGGTATTCATAATATATTTGATAGCTTAATTTATATCGTTGTAGTTTTTTACATAAATATGTGAAATCGAATGTAGGTTCACTGGCGATGAATCTCCCCGAAACAGATCCAATAGCCACACCATTGCTTCTTTATTGCACCGTATCAGGCGCAATTGGAGTTATCGCAACAGTTAACGAAAAGAAACATGAGATTCTAAAGGAGTTGCAAAGATCTATGCGACATATGGTCAAAGGAGTAGGAGGATTAAAACATAAGCGGTAATAATTTAATCCTATCGCGGCTAAGATATATCCTAGTATTAATTATAGATTTCTATCCTTTCCAATGTTAACGATTGACAGATGGCGCTCATTCAGTAACGAACGTCGAATAGTAGAGGCACGAAAATTTCTCGATGGTGATCTAATAGAATCATTTTTAGATTTGAGCCGTAAACAGATGGAACAGATTTCCGAGGATACGGGTTACAGCGTCGAAGATTTGTTCAAGACTGCGGAAGAACTTACGAGGGTGCATTAAAGCAAAAATCATGATGAATTTGTATTATAAATATGATGATATGAAATATGTATTTTTTAAAAGTATTATTTTTAGATAGATTGATAATAGTAATGATAATAGCAGAATGGTAATTTACACTTTGTTATCATTATTAATAATTTTGGGGATAATTGTAATGTACATAGAAAATAACTTTGATTTTAACTATTGCATATTTTCAAAATTGAGGATTACCTTGTGAAAACATATTTGAAGAAATTGACCAATAAAGAAGTTTGAATTTTATATCGCGACTTATGAGATCTCAAGTGTGAAGTCAATTAAGAATCAGTCTGAGCATGGAGGTGATTCGAATTTGCGATGAGGTATTCACAAATTCTTACGAAAGAAAATGACGATTATGAATATGATGATTAGGATGATAATAGCGAAGACGATGAACATGAACCGGTGTTTACGATGAAGACGGAAATTCGTTCGATCTGTAGGTAAGCTTTACTGATAGTGATGGAAACGACGAAAGTGATGATGATTCTAATTTAAATGATCTTCTTTATAACTATACGTCATTGGCACCTTGCAAAATAATATAGATGACGAAAGTGATGATGTTATAATTTAAAGTATTTTCTTCATATACTCGTGGTAATGTCATTTGCACCTCACAAAATAATAGAAAAGGAAATTTGGAACTTAGTACGTAGTGAATCTTGATATAACGAATGGTCCGGGTCTATTAGTAAAAATTTGTCATATCACGAGTTTATTAGGATTTTTTTATTATAAATGGATCTGGAACTCAAATTCACTATATCTCGAGTTTAATTAAATTCGTTACATAGTGCATTCGTTACATCCAGATTGACTATGTAATAACACTTTAGATCCGTTATTTAACAATATCATTACTACCACCATCACCTTCAACAGCATTTGAGCTGGATGATGATGCGGACTTTTTGGCTCGAAGTGTCTGCCCTTCACCGGAAAATGGCTTTGGAGATGACTGTTAATTAAATGTATACAAAATCAATACTTTGATAGTAACAAGTAATTGGTTGAATACATATTCATTAGTCAAAAATATTTACCGATTCGGTATTATTATCATTTTTTTTCTCGCCAAGCGGAACGACATCGTATCCGAAGTACAGTTTTCCAAAAGGCAAATTCAAAGGACCGGGTATCTTTTGAGATTCAGCTGACGGTGTTTGAGCAGCAGCACCAGCAGTAGTACCTCCAGGAACACTAAAAAGTTATTCGAGGTAAAACCAATGATCAAAAATTACAAGATAAAAATGCTTAGCGAATGTTTTGATACCTTTTTTTTGATGTCGATCCTTTTTGTGCCGATACCTTTACTGTTTTTCCGTTAAGTCGTTGACCACTTCCTGTAAATGCCGACCAACCTTTCGGTTCTGAATCTGGTTCGTCGATTTTCATTTTATCTGCCTAATTAATTATCAGTAACTAATTAGTTAGTTTAAGCGAAGTTAACCAACGACCGTATACATACCATAGTCTTTGGTCGTGGTTTCGGTTCAACATATCCCACAGGTGGAGCAAAATCGACCTAATTATAATAATTCAATTTATGTCAAGTACTCGAAACTCGCAGTAACAATACAAATCGTTATTAGTCACCTCTAAATCCGTCTCCAAGATAGAGATGCCATTGTTATGAGGCCGAACCTCCAACACCATTATCTCGTAAATTTTAGTATTGTAACTGATCTCTATTATATCCCCTTGAGTCAATGTGGCAAAATTCCTAAGTGCATTTTCTAAACTGTTTAATTTTCAATTCATTATTTCTATGTTAACTATCTTTTATCCGTTAACCGATTAACCGATCAAGGAAAATAAAATACAACATACACGGCTTTGGGATCACTGATATCAAGAAATTCTACTGACTGTGGTTGGATCTTTACGAAATTTCCTAATGGTAAGGTGGCATTCTTGATTTCAATTATATCCCCTTGCTCTAGTAGCAGTGTTTGCATCATCTAAATTGATTTTAACAATAGTAACATATTGATCAAACAACCAAAATACACACATACATGTATGAATAAATGCAACAAAAAAAACAAGTTATCGATCGAACAACTCGACTAATTACCCAATGTGGCAAATATACGCGTCCTTCCTCTGCGATAAATTCTAGTACGCCGGCATGTGAATGGCGTTCTTTATTGGTATTACGCAGTTCAAATAACATTGGATACTCAATATTTAAGCTTGCTATATTATTACGTATTCGTAGAAACTATTATATCGTTTTTCCGGAATTAAATGATTAAAATCAAAAAATCATCTCATCTCATTCTATTATTAAATTACCTAATTTTTCCAGAGCTGAAGGAGGAAGGATAACTGAAAAAAATTAAAGTAAAATGTATAGTAATATTAGAGGATCAAGATCAAAGAATGCTCTCATTTAAGTTCATTAAACCTTTTGCTTAGCTAAGCATTGTAAAGATAAAAAATAATGGTTCTCACTTACTCTTTCCACCAAAATTTACATTTTGTCTTTCGTTTCCTTGCATCATAATTACAGAATAACATCGATACATTTCAGAGAACCCGCGGTTTGGATTATTGCGTGGAATCCCAAAGCCTGCTAGCCCTGATTCAAACCTGTCATATCCACCAAACTTGTTTATTTTATAATGTAACAGTTAAAATACAATGTTCTTTATTAAACCAAGGAATAAACTTTAAATATATTTACCATGTTAAATATAATTCTTTTTTTATATGAAAGAAGTGAAATATTTCGCAACTGATTTCGATAAAAGTAACCTTTATAAACGAGGTATGGGTTAATTACGTAAGATTAGATTTCATACGTAATTGAAAGTGACTTTATCTTCTATGAGTGTATTCGCGAAAGATCAGCGGCTAACATACCGAGCGAGTTAAATCATTGGCTGATTTAATGACGATAAACAAATATGCGTATTCGTAATGGCGCGTGGTCTTGGAAAAACAAAAGTGAACCAATTTGTTGAAAGAAACGTCAGTCATGTGAAATCAAATTAACAAAATTGATAAATGATCAATAACTGTATTTATCAAAAAAAATATCTCCAATGAGCAATATTTTGTTTTCGGATGTTTTCAACATTAACGACGTGGATCGTGATGGCGGCAAGAGATTTGATAGAGGTAGAAGAGAAAAGTGCTCGAAGGAATAGCCAAACTTAATGTATACAAAATTTCACAAACTCATTTCCTAGTATCAAGATATATAGCTCGTAGCGAAAACTATGAAATGGAATTAACACTCGACGTCAACATTGAGCTATATCCACTCGACATTGGTGACCGAGTCTCTCTATGCCTTGCTTCGTCCCTCGAATCTAATCCGTTGCCAACTGAGATACCAAAGGCAATATCAATGAGCGACTCGGAGTCCGAGCGTAAGCGTAAAAAAGAACAAGAGGAAAAAGAACGCGACTCGTGGCAAGAGAAACGTCCGGACGAGGTTGATTTGTCTGACGAGTATGAGTATGTCATGTTTGGCAAGGTTTACAAGTATGACGATAAGAGTTCGAAGGGAGTGTATGTTTTTTTCTTTAATGTGGTAATGTAGAATACGTTATGAAAATTAATTAATCAAATCTTGATATTTGATGAAGTGGTGTCTACATATCTTTTGGCGGTCTCTTAATGGCGCTCGAAGGCGACCATCGTCACATCACCAATATTTATGTCGGACAAAATTGTTATCTGCTCATGAAGCGTTGAATGAATCATTGAAACGTTACTTTCGACCATGCAAAATCAACTTTTCTACTGCAAATTTTCATTTGTATACAGATGTTTTTTATACGCACACATTAATTAATTTAATCTCATGGAATTATTCACATCCAGTCCCAATTACTTAAAGGTCATTCTACTTTAAGTTGTTTGAATTTCGGCAGTTTTTTATGCAACGCGTGATCTTATCACCAATAATCTAAAGACGCAGTCACGTGAGCGTACGAATATCGGTTAGGATAGGATTAGAACGAGAGTTAGGATTACAACGCACAAAATGGTTTTGTTAGAACACAAATTCACTAAAACTAAAAATATGATAATGATAATTGATATTTGAGATTTTATTAATTTTCTTCCTTTCTCAAGTTTCAATTAAACAATGAAAAATCTCATCACTGATTGAATAAATCACATAATATCAATTTTCTGAAAAAACATTTTTATAATATAATTAATATTAAAGTTTGTATATAAAAGTTAGCGTTAGAATAGGATTATAAAATTTCTTTTTGAATATTTTTATTAATATATCGAATAAATTTTTTATATTTTTCAATTTTTTTATTTTTTATAAAAAGTATTGACTAATAGATTGAAAAAAAAAAAAAAAGATACTAATATAAAAAGATTACTAATAAAAAATTAATAATTAACAGATCAAAAGGAAATGGAATTTATATAAATAGATTATTAAATAAAGAATATAAATAAATAATTAGTAAAAAATTTACAAATTTATATAATTTATAACAAATCTGATGAATATATTACTCTATAAATATAAATATTTATGTATTATAACCCATACTATTAATATAATCTTCAGCATTTTCTATCAAATATTTCTCTAGTATTTGTCAATACTTTCTAAAGGTTAAAAAGAGAATTATAAGAATTAATTTCTTGACTATCTTCTTGTATATTTACTGTATAAAATAATAAAAAAAAGAACTTTAGTAAATCTTGCAGATTAATTTTTGACTTTAAAAGTAATCAAAAATAAGTATCTTTCAAAATATTTCAGATAGTTCATTAGTAATAACTAACTTTTTAATTAATTTGATTTGTTCTTGTATTTAATCATCTAAAAATTAATAAAAATAATATATATTCTTAATTTTTTTGTTTAAAATATTTATTATATAATCAAATTCTTTATGAATTAAAGATCTTTTATTATTTGATACTTGAGTAAATAGAAATTAAGTTGATAATAAAGAATATTCAATATTATCAATTTTTATTTTATTATTAAATAACAAATAATTAGATAAAACAAATTAATATATAAAAGAATGAGATAGTGAAAGAGAAAAAACTATAGTAAGATTTATAATTTCTTTATGCTTGCTTTTATCACTTATTATATGTAATAGAAAGAAATTAGCAAAAATATTATTTATAATATCTTTATATAATTTTTTATAGATATCAATTTACTAATTTGATAAAGATAAAATAGCAGATGAAGTAACAGATAAAGTAGTAGATGAAGTAGCAGGTAAAATGATAGATGAAATAGCAGATAAAAAAACAGATTATGTAAATAAAGTAGTAGATATAGAAGAAAATGAAGTTAATTATCAGAATTTTGAATCTATTAAAGTAAGATTAAGAAATTTAATTAAAAAATTCTTATAATTTTTACAATTACAAAAAAACTTTAAAAGATTTTGTCTACTTTTTATGATTATATAACTAAATAAATCTTTTATTTAATCAGAAGTCTATATTTCTAGTTATTTTACATTGAATAATATTATATTGATTAATTTTGAAAAATCATCTTTAGAAGATTTCTTAGATTATCTTGATAATCTGTGAAAATATTTAGATATGATTATTAAAAAATAATAGTAGTAAATAAAAAAGAAATATAATAATAAATAAAGTAATAAAAAAATAGAGAAGTAATTTATTATTTATATAATAAATTACTATAATTACTATACTTTATCAGATTATAAAAAAAATTTATATCATATTTTATCTATACTCTATTAATATTATATTAATATTATAATGCTAGTTATTATCTATATAATTTTAATAAATTATTAATATTTATTATATGAAAAAAAATTTATTTATTAATAATGATAATATTTCTAAAATACAAAAAATTTCTCTAAGTATATTACAAGTAATCTAGAAATCAGTCTTTAAAATATATTTAGAAAGATTTCTATACTTAAAAATAAATTAAAGTTTTATTCTTCTTTAAA